AACAGAGTGAAACAATGTTTCAAAAAAAAAAAAAAAAAAATCCCCAAAAAGACTAATGAAAAGAAAATGATTAAATTGTGGTGTGTCTATATATAATTTTCTACAGTCATTCAAAATGATTTTCAATAGTTTGGGGGAAATGCCCAATATGTACTGAGTAACTAATCAAATAAAAACCCACCCAGAACATGAAACCGTTATACAGTATGTGATTGCAGTCATATCCAATGCAAAGGACTGACAAGAGATAGTCCTATATCTTGGTGGTAATTATCTCCAGGATATAGGATGGCAAATAATTTTTATTTTATAATTAGAGGTTACGTTTGTTCTTTGAAAGTCTGTTTTAAAAATTAAAATGGGGGCTAGGCACAGTGGCTCATGCCTATGATCATGGCACTTTGGGAGGCTAAGGTGGGCAGATAGCTTGAACCCTGGAGTTTGAAACTAGCCTGGGCAACATGGCAAGACCCTGTCTCTACAAAAACATACAAAAATTAGCTGGGCATGGTGGTACATGCCTGTATTCCCAGCTACCCAGGAGGGTGAGGCAGGAGGATCACATGAGCCTGGGAGGCTGAGGCTGCAGTAAACCATGACTGTGCCACGGCACTCTAGCCTGGGTGACGGAGCAAAACCCCAAAGGAAAAAAAAATTAAAATGCACTGACTATATTAACTGCATTTTTTTTTTGAAATGGAGTCTCCATTTCAAAATGGCTGCATTTCCAGCCCAGGCTGGAGTGCAATGGTGCCATCTTGGCTCCCTGCAACCTCTGCCACCCAGGTTCAAGTGATTCTCCTGCCTCAGCCTCCCGAGTAGCTGGGATTACAGGCACACACCACCACGCCCAGCTAATTTTTGTATTTTTTTTTTTTTAAGTAGAGACGGGGTTTCATCATCATGTTGATCAGGCTGGTCTCAAACTCCTGACCTTGTGATCCTCCTGCCTCAGTCTCCCAAAGTACTGGGATTACAGGCATGAGCCACCGCACCCTTCTAGGCGTGAGCCACCGTGCCTGGCCAACTGCATTTAAAAAAAGAGTATAGTGAAGGAAAGGGGAATGGGAAACAGCTTGAGGAACAGATAGGATTGAGGAAACATTTTAGGTTTGGGTGATTGATTATATTTGTGGAGTAAGACAAAAGGTCTGTAAGAAAGGAATGTAATTAAGATGCAAGAAAGCATTAAAAGATGTTGGGCAGTCCTAGAGGATATAGTCTGCCATCCAGGACATAATAGGCAAATCATCCTTGAAGAAAGGGAGGGAGACTTTTTCAGACATGGGAAACAGATGAAGATAGTTAGTGGCACAGAGAAATTTTAAGGTATGGGAGAAAGTTGAGGGATAGCAGATAATCATTATTTTAAGGAAGAGGAAGAGTCAGGGATAGCTACAGATTGGTATTAGCAATTTGAGGAGATGGAAAAGGTTTGCAGGGAGCACTGGGGATGGGTCCAGGAGTGGATTAGAGATGTAGAAACTGATTTCTAAGCAGTATAGATAACCCAAATGAAGTTGTTGAATAATGTCAACTGTAGCCAATGTTGGCTTGGTCTCTTTGACATAATCCAGTTTTAGGAATTTGAATACTCTATAATACAAATATATAGACTGAAGCACAATTTTAATTTTTTTCTATCTTTTGCCTAGGTCTGTATGATTGTATAGGACTTAGAGCTTTTTGTCCTACCAAATTATTAATTTCTTTATTCACATTAATTTTAATACCAGCACACTAATCTCATTGAACCCATGGTTTTACTACTATGTTGGGTTGTCAAAATCATCCATCATTTATAATTCCCGAGCTCCCAGGAGTCTTGAGCTGTGATTTGTTTGTTTGTTTGTTTGTTTTTGAGACAGAGTCTTGCTCTGTTGCCCAGGCTGGAGTGCTGTGGTGCAATCTCCGCTCACCACAACCTCTGCCTCTTGGGTTCAAGCGATCCTCCCAGCTCAGCCTTCTGAGTAGCTGGGACTACAGGCGCATGCCTAGCTAATTTTTGTATTTTTAGTAGAGATGGGGTTTTGCCATATAGGCCAGGCTGGTCTCAAACTCCTGATCTCAAGTGATCTGTCCACCTTGGCCTCCTAAAGTGCTGGGATTACAGGCGTGAGCCACTGTGCCCTGGCAATTTCTTCTTTTTAATAAGAGGGGAGAAAAGAGTTTTTGTCTTAAATAATTGGAAGTGAAAACCTCTGACCTTATCTTTGCTGGGCCCAGTGGAAAATTTATCAGGATCATTTGTAGAGCAGCCTGCTCTTTAATATGCTAGTTTACTTAGTTTATTTACTCCACTAAAATACACCTGACTTCTCAACTGGAACGTTCTTCAGCATTACTTGTTGGTCCGAGAGAATAGTAGTGGACAAAGTAGAAAAGGGATTAGTTGTGGTGAAAGAATTTCTGGGAGGGGAAGCAGTTGGGCAAGGGTGAAGGAATTGAAACTACTAGGGAAAGTAGCCTATGATTGAAGTTCAAGTGAGGCGTGAAGTGAGCTGATGAACTGTAAAGATTGTGGGAGGAGTTGAAGGTTGTGATGAGACTGAATAAAATATATTGCAGGAGGCAGGTAGAATGAATAGGAAGTTGTAGTTAGAGGGATTTTAGAGTTCAAGATCTAGAAAGAGGAACAATTCTCAGTATCAAGGAAATTTAAGGAGTTGTATGGGTTATCAGATAATTCCATTGAAAAATTGAGATCAAAATGTTAGAAGGGTACATAGCATTGATGTTAAAATTCCCGAAATGTTAATCCCCAGCAACAAATCATAGCATTTTTGGAATCCAGTTTCTACTGTACCTTTATCATAGTAGGTTTATCTCATGCACTGAATGTTCTGCCCCTCCCTCACATACCCCTAAAACTTGTCTAGCACTGAATATGCAATTTAGTATGAATTTTCTAACTGAAAGATTTTTAGGAATCTTGTAGTCAAGATAATACATTTTAGGATTCATTCTTTGGTCACATAACTCATCAGTAGCAGAGTCAGAGCTAGAAACCTTAATTTCCCAATTTTTGGTCTATTCTACTAGTTGTTACCTGTTATTTAAAAAGCAGCAGGAACTCTTCTTTCAAACTAATTAGGAACCTCTTAAAATAGCATGGAGAGACAATATGCAGTCTTAAATGGTTTTGGAAACCTCAGTTAGAAGGGAAGCAGTGTCAAAGCTGACTCTTCCTGCATTCATACTATGTTCTGCAGGTAGTCAACACTAATCAGGTGCTGACTGCCAATTACTGAGTTGTCCCTCTATTAAAAATAAGCATTTGGGGAACCCCCAAAGTAGTGCTTGTCATAACTTACTCTCCACATATATAATCTGGGGATCTTGTTAAAATGCTAGCTCTGATGTAGTAGGTCTAGAATAGTTTTGAAGTTTGGGCATTTCTGACAAGCTCCTATATAGTGCTTGTCCTTTTGTTTTAAAGACCACACTTTGAATAGAAAGGCCCTAAAGGATTTCTGTGGTACATAGTTTGAAAATGTCTTTTAAAATATGAGGACAGGTACGCAGCAGCTCATGCCTATAATCGTAGCACTTTGGGAGGCCAAGGAGGGAGGATTGCTTGAGGTCAGGAGTTCAAGACCAGCGTGGGCAACATGGCAAAACCCTGTCTCTACAAAATAATTAGCTGGGCATGGTGGTGGGTGCCTGTAGTCCTACCTAGTCGGGAGGCTGAGGCATAAGAACTAGAACCTGGGAGGTGAAGGTTGCAGTGAGCTGAGATCACACCACTGCACTCCAGCCTGGGCGATGGAATGAGACTCTGTCTTAAAAAAAAGAAAGAAAAACAAAACTATGCGAGGAGAGAGATGTTAATTAGCTTGACTGCAGTAATGTTTTTCACTATGTATATCAAAACACACAGTTTTTATTAAAAATAAATCATTGCAATACACGTTTTACAGAAAAATAATTTAATACATGATACTGTGTCTCTGTTTCTTTGTTTTGTTTGAGACAGGCTCTCACTCTGTCTCCAGGTTGGAGTGCAGTGGCGCAAGCTCAGCTCACTACAACCTCCACTTCCCAGACTCAAACAATCGTCCCACCTCAGCCTCCTCAGTAGCTTCGACTACAGGCGTGCCCCACCATGCTCAGCTACTTTTTAAATTTTTTTGTACAGACAGGGTCTTGTCATGTTGCCCAGGCTGATCTCTCACTCCTGCGCTTAAGTGATCCTTTCACCTCAGCCTCCCAAAGTGTTGCAATTACAAGCGTGAGCCACAGCACCCAGCCTCTGTTAGTTGAATCTATTAGATTTTATTTTGTTCAGGCTTATTCTGAAATTCCTAGGAGTATGGGTTAGTACCGTGTAGTGGTTTGGAGGTAGTACATACCAGAGCCTTGGCTGAGACATCTGCAGACTGGCTACTTATGCCCTTGTTTCTAATCTATGACTAGAGCCCCTCTGGAAGGAAAAGGAATCAACTATATTTAGCCAACAGTAGCAGTAGCTTTCAGTCTGACATTTCCTGTTAGTGTTCTTCCCTCCTTTCTATCCCTCCAGTTGATGTCATTGCTTTGAATAAATGACAGCTCCTTTCAAAAAAGGTCTGTGGGTACTTCTACTCTAAATCACTAGCTTTGAACTTTTTGTGTACCATTGTACTGAGGCGGGGGATATCAGGGTCTAGTACCTGGGAAATACGTGCACTTCGTTCTCCTAGCATGGGAAAACCAGACCTGCCTCAAACTTGAATTAATATTAATAGCCAGTGGAAACTAAGAAACAACAATGGTAAAGTTATCTGTGCTTGTGATAAAGTAGTACCGTTTATAAGGATTTTGAAAACTTGACTTTGTTCCTATTAATATAGGGCCTCCTGAAGGCTTATTTGAAATACGAACCAGCATACCTAATAGTTCTGAATGGCCACAAGTATTCCTGTGCCCTTGGACAACCCATCACTCTATCTCTAGATGTTAAATTCAGGGAGTATTCATTATTTTTCTCTCCCCCTTTCTTTTCCCCTCTTCTTACCCAGACTGAGCACAAATGGATCAGATGATCCCGAAGATGCAGGAGCTGGTGAAAATAGGAGAGTCAGTGGGAATAATTCTCCATCACTCTCAAATGGCGGTTTTAAACCTTCTAGACCTCCAAGACCTTCACGACCACCACCACCCACCCCACGTAGACCAGGTTTGTATTCCAGCTCTCAGTACTCTCATAAATAATGTTCTGGTTGGCAATTAATTCTCAGGTAAGTGTCAGGAGATTCTTTTAGGTGAATTTTCTTTTTTTTTTTTTTTTTTTGAGACGGAGTCTTGCTCTGTCACCCAGGCTGGAGTGCAGTGGCCGGATCTCAGCTCACTGCAAGCTCCGCCTCCCGGGTTTACGCCATTCTCCTGCCTCAGCCTCCCGAGTAGCTGGGACTACAGGCGCCCGCCACCTCGCCCGGCTATTTTTTTGTTTTTAGTAGAGACGGGGTTTCACCGTGTTAGCCGGGATCGTCTCTCGATCTCCTGACCTCATGATCCGCCCATCTCGGCCTCCCAAAGTGCTGGGATTACAGGCTTGAGCCACCGCGCCCGGCCTTAGGTGAATTTTCTGCGTGTATTTTTACATTTAAGATTTTGGGGCCGGGCGCGGTGGCTCACGCCTGTAATCCCAGCACTTTGGGAGGCCGAGGCAGGCGAATCACAAGGTCAGGAGATCGAGACCACGGTGAAACCCTGTCTCTACTAAAAACACAAAAAAAATGAGCCGGGCGAGGTGGCGGGCCCCTGTAGTCCCAGCTGCTTGGGAGGCTGAGGCAGGAGAATGGCGTGAACCCAGGAGGCGGAGCTTGCAGTGAGCTGAGATCCGGCCACTGCACTCCAGCCTGGGCGACAGAGCGAGACTCCGTCTCAAAAAAAAAAAAAAAAAAAAAAAGATTTTGGAAGAGAATGATCTTTCTGTAGGTAACCAAAAGTGCCTTTTTCCTAAGTTTTTATTCAAGGTGACGTTACTGAGGCAGTGCTCTATTGAGAATGAAAATGACATGTGCATAATATAAAGTATAGGCGGTACAGATAACATTGCAATAACATTGCACCTTTCTTACATGGTTTGTAACTATAACATAAATGTATTAAATAGTCAAGGATTTGGTTGCTTATTCCCAGTATATCCTTTAAAAAGTTAGTAAATGAAAACCCAACAATGCTAAATGACTCAGATTTTAAATAAAAAATACACAACAGATAAGCATATTTTAGGTAGTAAAAATGTGAACACCTACAGTTAGAATATCCATTTCTCTGGTAGCCAGAACAAATCTTTAATCTTATCTTTTATTATTTCTCTCTGCTAATATATGGGCAGGGAATGCAGTGTAGTTAAACCAAATATTACTGGAAAAGTACATTAGTTCTCTGCAAATCATTTTCTTTTTTTTTTTTTTTTTTTTGAGATGGAGTCTCACTCTGTCACCCAGGCTGGAGTGCAGTGACCGGATCTGAGCTCACTGCAAGCTCTGCCTCCCGAGTTTACGCCATTCTCCTGCCTCAGCCTCCCGAGTAGCTGGGACTACAGGTGCCCGCCACCTCGCCCGGCTAGTTTTTTGTATTTTTTAGTAGAGACGGGGTTTCACCGTGTAGGCCAGGATGGTCTCGATCTTTGTGATCCACCCATCTCGGCCTCCCAAAGTGCTGGGATTACAGGCTTGAGCCACCGTGCCCGGCCTGCAAATCATTTTATATTTTTTGTAGAGATGGAGTTTTGCCATGTTGCCCAGGCTGGTCTGGAGCTCCTGAGCTGAAAGTGATCTGCCTGCCTCGGCCTCCCAAAGCGTGGGAATTACGGGCATAAGGCACTGCAACCACATCTTCCCCTTTTATAGATAATTTGAATAACAGTATATTGTGAGTCTTTAAGATGTCTTTATTATAAACTTGTTGACCTCCTCTAGACATTGTTTTGTCCACAAGTATTTCTTAAAGGTGTAATATATGACCAGTTACTATTTGTAAGAATATTATTGCTTATCAGTCAGACCCTCCATATTATTAACCAACATAAAAAATTGGTCTGTAATCTGCAGGGTTTCACAGGAAAGCAGTTTAAAGAGCTGGAAAATTAATAAATGAACTTAAAATACCAAGGAATATTAATGATTTCCTATTCTAAAAGTTTTTATTTCCTATGACATCAGGAGATCAGACAACCTGTACATGCTTTGTAATTAATAATGGGACATAGGGGTAGACAGGACCGAAGAAGTAAACAAGCCTATTAAGTGGCAGCGTTGGTTATTTCCATTACTTATTTCTTTAAGTAATTTTCACCTGTGTATCTACATCTTAAGTTTTATATTTGTCATCTGCCTTTTATTTGTTACAGTTAAAATTCTATCCTGAATTTTAGAAAATAAAAGATTTTTTTCCTATTTTCCCCAAATCTTTTATAGCATCTGTCAATGGTTCACCATCTGCCACTTCTGAAAGTGATGGGTCTAGTACAGGCTCTCTGCCACCGACAAATACAAATACAAATACATCTGAAGGAGCAACATCTGGATTAATAATTCCTCTTACTATATCTGGAGGCTCAGGCCCTAGGCCATTAAATCCTGTAACTCAAGCTCCCTTGCCACCTGGGTGAGTAACTTTTGAAATTAACATACATTGTCTTTAGTCTTCTCCATAAGCCTGCTTATTAATAAGGAGAATAATAGTAAACAACAGTAAACTCCATTGTTTCAATCACTCTTTTTAAATTGCTTTATTTTGAGATGGAGTCTTGCTCTGTCTCCCAGGCTGGAGTGCAGTGGCGCGATCTCGGCTCACTGCAACCTCCGCACCCTGGGTTCAAGTAATTCTCCTGCCTTAGCCTCCCAAGTAGCTAGGATTACAGGTGTGCACTACCAAGCCCGGCTAATTTTTGTACTTTTAGTAGCGACGGGGTTTCACCATGTTGGCTAGGCTGATCTCGAACTCCTGACCTCAAGTGATCGACCCACCTCAACCTCCAAAAGTGCTGGGGTTACAGGCATGAGCTACTGTACCCAGCCGACTGTTTTTATGATATTATAATTGATTTTGGGGGATCTAGAGTCAAAATGAACAAGGAAAACGTACCATATTTGAAATCTTCAGGGCAAAGTGGAAAAATATATTTTTTCATCAATGGACCCTGAAAGTTAACCAAGGCCAATTAATAAAATAATCACCTAATTCTAATTGCTTTTTTCTTTGAGGGGGGAAAAAATCCCTTTTTAATATCAAAATTTTTTTTCATCATAAAATCATTATAGGCTGGGCGTGGTGGCTCACGCCTGTAATCCCAGCACTTTGGGAGGCCGAGGCGGGCAGATCACCTGAGGTCAGGAGTTCGAGACCAGCCTGGCCAACATGGTGAAATCCCATCTCTACTAAAAATACAAAAAATTAGTCGGACATGGTGGCGAGTGCCTGTAATCCCAGCTACTCGGGAGTCTGAGGCAGGAGAATTGACTGAACCTGGAAGGTGGAGGTTGCAGTGAGCCAAGATCATGCCACTGCCCTCCAGCCTGGGCAACAAGAGCAAAACTCCATCTTGGGGAAAAAAGAAAAATCATTATAGCAAAGTGATAGATAATTCCGAAAACAGAGAAAATTTGTGCTCATAATCCCATTTTAATCTCTACTGATTATTTTAAGACTATTTTCATAGATTGTTTTTAAGATACTCAAATGTAATTTTTTCTTGTTTATTTTTTATTTGTTTGTTTGAGATGAAATATTGCTCTGTCACCCAAACTGTAGTGCAGTGGTGGGATCTTGGCTCACTGTAACCTCCACCTTCTGGATTCAAGTGATTCTCCTGCCTCAGCATCCCAAGTAGTTGGGATTACAGGCACCTGCCATCATGCCTGGCTAATTTTTTTTTTTTTTTTTTTTGATATGGAATCTTGCTCTGTCGTCCAGGCTGGAGTGCAATGGTACAATCTTGGCTCACTGCAACCTTTGCCTCCCAGGTTAAAGTGATTCTCCTGCCTCAGCCTCCTGAGTAGTTGGGACTACAGGTGCCCACTGTCACACCCAGCTAATTTTTGTATTTTCAGTAGAGACAAGGTTTCACCATGTTGGCCAGGCTGATCTTGAACTCCTGACCTCGAGTAATCCACCCGTCTCGGCCTCCCAAACTGTTGGGATTACAGGTGTGAGCCACTGCGCCCTAATTTTTGTATTTTTAGTAGAGTTGGGGTTTCACCATGTTGGCCAGGCTCATCTTGAACTCCTGACCTCAAGTGATCTGGCCGCCTCGGCCTCCCAAAGCGCTGGGATTACAGGCATGAGCCACTGTGCCTGGCCATTTGTTTCCACTCAAATCCTGATTATACCCTGATTGACAGTGACTTCTGTATCCTAGCTTGACTGACCTCAAGCCTCTTTAGGATGTATTTTCTCCTAGAGCAGATACTTGCATAGAAGAAATTGAATTCACTGTGTGCCACCGCCTGAAGATTACATTTCTTCACTTTATTCTTAAATTGTATTTGTATCATCTTTCTAAATTGATATCCTTATTTGCCTTAGTTCAATAGTGGTCATTTAATGGAAAAAGGCAAAGACAGGATTAAAAAGCCAAGTAACTCATGCAAGTATTTTACCAACCTTCTAATTTTGTATTTAAGTTGGGAGCAGAGAGTGGACCAGCACGGACGAGTTTACTATGTAGATCATGTTGAGAAAAGAACAACATGGGATAGACCAGAACCTCTACCTCCTGGGTAAGTATCTGAATTTAAAAAGAATAATTTTATTTAGTCAGAATTGTGGATTACATCTGTATAGTCTTCCCTACATTTCTATTTTACTTTTTCCTGTCAACCCTTTCTCTGTCCACTTTGTTTTGTGGTAAGTACAAATTAGAAAGAAGAGAGCTAGACAACTGATTAATTCAGAATCTGATAAATGATTTTTGTTTTCACTCATATTTCTTTCTTTTTTTCTTTATTATATAGAAACAACATCTTGCTATGTCGCCCGGGCTGTTTTTGAACTCCTGAGCTCAAGCCATCCTCCTGCCTTGGCCCCCCAAAGTGCTGGGATTATAGGTGTGAGCTATCACGCCTGGCCCTATTTTCACTCATTTCTGACCTAAAGATTCCCTAGGTCGGCCGGGCGCAGTGGCTCACCCTATAATCCCAGCACTTTGGGAGGCCAAGGCAGGCGGATCACAAGGTTAGAAGATTGAGACCATCCTGGCTAACACGCTGAAACCCCGTTTCTACTAAAAATACAAAAAAAAAAAAAAAATAGCCGGGCGTGGTGGCAGGTGCCTATAGTCCCAGCTACTCAGGAGGCTGAGGTGGGAGAATGATGTGAATCTGGGAGATGGAGCTTGCAGTGAGCAGAGATCATGCCACTGCACTCCAGCCTGGGTGACAGAGCAAGACTCCGTCTCAAAAAAAAAAATTTTTTTTTCCTTGACTTTTCTTGTCTAAACTGTTTACCTGTTTACTAATACTGTAGTTTGAGTATTAGTTTCTTCAAGAGTAATTATTTAAATGAATAAGAATTAGAGCCCCATCATATATTAAAATGAAATTCTTATTATATTTAAAAAACTATATTTAATAGCAAAATCATTTCAAATTAATTGGGGAAGTTAAGGATATATTAATACATGGTGTTAAGCTTTTAACATTAACGTTATAGTGCAGGCGCGGTGGCTCACACCTGTAATCCCAGCACCTTGGGAGGCTGAGGTGGGCGGATCACGAGGTCAAGAGATCGAGACCAGCCTAGCCAACATGGTGAAACCCCATCTCTACTAAAAATTTAAAAATTAGCTGGGCGCCATGGTGTGCGCCTATAGTCCCAGCTACTCGGAAGGCTGAGGCAGGAGAATGGCTTGAACCTGGGAGGCGGAGGTTGCAGTGAGCCGAGATTGTACCAGTGCACTCCAGCCTGGAGACAGAGGAAGACTTTGTCAAAAAAAACCCCCCAAAAAACCAAGAAACTTTATATAAAATAATTGGAGAAAAAATATTTTTTAATCCAGAGGAATGTCAGTAGCAAACATGGAAAAATACTTAACCTTGTTAGTAATCTGAAGGAAATATACCCTGAAAAGGTACTGTTTTAGTTATTAAATTAGCAGATAATATCAAGTGTTGGTGAGGAACTTTACCTTATTAATTGCTGCTGTGGCTGGGCACAGTGGCTGATGCCTGAAATCCTAGCACTTTGGGAGGCCAAGGTAGGATGGGCGCTTGAGGCCAGGAGTTTGAGACCAGCCTGGGTAGCATAGTGAGACCCCGTTGCTATAGAAAGTAAAAAAAATTAGCTGGGCATGGTGGCATATACCTGTGGTCCTAGTTAATCAGGAGTCTGAAGAGGGAGAATCTCTTGAGCCCAGGAGTTCAAGATTACAGTGAACTGTGATCGTGCCACTGTACTCCTGGTCAACAGAGCCAGACCCTGTCATCCTCCCTGCATCTGCCCACCATAATTATATATTAATACATACCATAATCCTCTATGTGAAATTTATCCTAAAGAAATAATTCAAAGGAAGAAACCATTTGCTGCATTAGGATATTCATTGTTTTATTTTTTATAACATCAGAATATTAGAAACCAGCCTAAATAACCAACCAGGTAGAAATCGTGAAATCATTCGATTCATTTATGAATTATGTTCATAATCAACACAATCAATTATGTTTCAAATGTTTTATTTAGAACATTTGTATCAATATTTACTTACATATTTTGTACCCATTTAAAATGATAGGAAGTTGGCTGGGCTTGGTGGCTCATGCCTGTAATCCCAGCACTTTGGGAGGCCGAGGTGGGCAGATCACCTGAGGTCGGGAGTTCGAGACCAGACTGACCAACATGGAGAAACTCCGTCTCTAATAAAAATACAAAATTGACCAGGCGCGGTGGCTCAAGCCTGTAATCCTAGCACTTTGGGAGGCCAAGATGGGTGGATCACGAGGTTGGGAGATCGAGACCATCCTGGCTAACCCGGTGAAACCCTGTCTCTGCTAAAAAATACAAAAAACTAGCTGGGTGACGTGGCGGGCGCCTGTAGTCCCAGCTACTCGGGAGGCTGAGGCAGGAGAATGGTGTAAACCCAGGAGGCGGAGCTTGTAGTGAGCTGAGATCTGGCCACTGCATTCCAGCCTGGGCGGCAGAGCGAGACTCCATCTCAAGAAAAAAAACAAAACAAAACAGAATTAGCCAAGCGTGGTGATGCATGCCTGTAATCCCAGCTACTCAGGAGGCTGAGGCAGGAGAATCGCTTGAACCCAAGAGGCAGAGGTTGTGATGAGCCGAGATCGCGCCATTGCACTCCAGCCTGGGCAAAAAGAGGGAAACTCTGTCTCAAAAAAATAAAAATAAAAAAAGATAGGAAGTTAGTTGTGTTCTTGCAGAAAATTTTGTGTGTGTTTGATTTATTTTTATTTTTATTTTTGAGATGGAGACTCCCTCTGTTGCCCAGGCTGGAGTGTATTGGCATGATCTCAGCTCACTGTAGCCCCCACCTCACAGCTTCAAGCAGTTCTCCTGCTCAGCCTCCCGCGTAGCTGGGACTATGGATCTGCGCCACCACGGCTGGCTAATTTTTTATATTTTTAGTAGATATGGGGGCTTCACTATGTTGGCCAGGCTGGTCTTGAACTCCTGACCTCAAGTGATCCACCCACTTTGGCCTCCCAAAGTACTGGGATCACAGGTGTGAGCCACTGCACTTGGCCAAAAAGTGCTTTTTGATATCTGTCCGAAGCTATAAATTCAATTTGCATCCCTGTTATGATTGAAACAGTGAAAAGAACATTGAACAGAAGCTCAAAACTTAATGACTGTTTGAGACTTACTCGCTAAATATGTATTGCATTTTAAGAACCTAGCTAATGTATCTTACGAACTTTCAAGAAATAAATTTTTAGAAACATTTCTCTTAAGTTTACTTACAAACTATTTAAAAACGCATAAAAGAGTCCATATAAATTAAAAGTAGTTTCTCAAGGTAAAATCTTCTGTTTCACAAGTATTTGTTGAATTAGCTTGTTTTTTTTTTTTTCCTGATTTAGCTGGGAACGGCGGGTTGACAACATGGGACGTATTTATTATGTTGACCATTTCACAAGAACAACAACGTGGCAGAGGCCAACACTGGAATCTGTCCGGAACTATGAACAATGGCAGCTACAGCGTAGTCAGCTTCAAGGAGCAATGCAGCAGTTTAACCAGAGATTCATTTATGGGGTGAGCAGGCTGTTGTTTAATAAACTAGTAAGAGTATTTTGTTTCTAGCCCCTTCCAGCATATGTCATGGAAAGCACTAAAAAGAAGGTGCAAGTAGCATGGCGACCCAGTTGTTGCTGTTAGTAGGTATTATTTTTAGACCTCGTCTGGGGTATTCTGTGTGTGATCTAGTCTTTCCTTTTAGTAATTTGCTTAAGTCCAACTTCCTTTTCTTTTTAATGTCAAAAATAAGCAAAAAAGAAGTTAGGACAACTTAAAATTCATGAACAAAAGAACAGTAAAAATAAACTCAAGCAGCTTGAAAATAATTAAAACATTTCTAAATTTGCTAGTGACTTGGGTCTAAGAGCATCTGACTCTAACGTGGTTGTACAAAACTGATGATAGAGTTTAACTACTTTTTACCATTTGGAGGTAAGGCTTACCTAAAAAATTATTTGGTACTCTGGCAGACTGAAGAAATTTGATCCTTTATAGGAGTATGCTTACCGTATTATTCTGTCTTTAAATCTTTATTATCTTTGATATAAAATCATTTCCCTTCTGGAAACAAATGCTTTAAATTTTACATATTTTCCTATAGAGCAATATTGCAGTAATAGTGTAAGTACACCAAAATCTTCCTTTGCTATGCAGTCTTTGGTGGTAGGAATTTTATAATCTCTCAAGTCATATGGTATCATTGATCTTTTCTCTGGAGGAAAAGGAAAATAATCCATTGAGAAATTTGATTCTCTGTGCCAAACAAGATGGATATGTTATATAGAACCTAAATGGAAGAAAATCAAATCTTAAAAGAGCTCAGGAGAAAATGCCCCTCTCCATCACCATCTCTTCCCCTCCACTGCCATTGGTATCATCCCTGTTAGAATTCATCAGCGTAAAACAGCACCTTTCACATTCCTGTCCTGACCAGGCATGGCTTTATCCCTTTTCTTCATATTCTTGCCTATTCCTGATACCTCATCATCATAATAGTCAGCACTCACTGATGTAGACAAATTCACCTTTATCAGCAGCCTTCCCTTTGTTCCCTGCTTATGACTCAGGTACTTTTCTTTCATATAACAATTTTTCCTGCCACTTTCTCTGAACAAATGTTAACTATATTTCCCCTCCCAGTGGTTTTAAAGCTGAAATTAATTGTGTCTCTTGTGTACTTTACCCTTCTTTTCATTTTTTTTTTCTGTGCTATTTTACATCTTCCTTTCTAAATTATAATCACCTGTGGTATGCCTGGCCAAATTTCTTCTAGGTTTGAATGCCTAGCTTGCCTGCCTTCTTTAAAACTAGTTTCCACATGGGTGTTCAGTGGAAAGAGCATGGGCTTTGGAGTCAGACACGTCAAATCCTGTACTGAGTCAGTACAGTTCAAATCCTGTACTGAGTCAGTACAGTTCAAATCCTGGTTCCACAGTTAACTTTCTCTGTATGACTTTGAGTTAGTTACTTAACCTTATCAAGACTTATTTCTTTTATCTGTAAAATAAATACAGATATAAAATTGCCTCAGTTTTTCTGAGGATTCTTTAAAATAAAGTTCCAATATATTTGGCACGTACTGAATGCTTAGAAATGTTAGTTCCCATCTCTTCTCTTCTTCATATTCACCTCTGTATATGTACCCTTTATCTCATTTTTGCATTACATAATCTTTCAAAACATTCTTTTAGAAGAGAGATTTAGCAGATTTCTGGAGCACCAACTGTATATTTTGACTACTGTAAACCTGACCGATTTAGGACTCAGGGTCTTTGGAATTTTTTTTTTTAAGGGCAGCTTCTCCTTCATCATCTTGTTCCCCCCCCCACCAATCCAACATAATCTGAACAATTTTCTGAAATTTTTACTCTTTGTACTTGATGTAGAGTGGTTTGAAATCACATAGAATCTAAACAGCCTATTTTAGTTAACATAGCCAAAGATATAAGCTGAAATGAATTAATTTAACATCCTTAATAACATTTACTTTAAAAATGATGGGGTGTTGCTGAGAAATAGTCTGTTTATTGAGTATATGAAGTGGCCTTTGGCTGCCATTGTTGTTGTGACTGTTACTAGCATACAGAAACTGTCATACACCCAGCATTTTAAGTCTCAGAGTGGATATGGTTGATGATAAAACACTGTGTAATGGTTCTTTCTAGTCCATGGCTTAATTGTGCATGTCCCTAGTTTATCTGTCCAGGGAGAGCCAGTGGGGTTGGCTTCAGTCTTAAAATTGTCAGTACAGTATGTCTTGTGCCAAACATTTCAGACCTCATCTGTAACTTGGGCTCAGACCTTTTGTAGTGTTTCCTGCTGGCCTCCCTGTCCTCACATCTTTTCATAATCGTGTCTATCAGGAGGAGGAAGGCAGTTCTCGACAGCACTAAATCCAAGTTATTATATCAGTAGTGTAATATATCTCATATCCTTCAAGACCTCATCAATCAACCAGGTTTCTGTAATAGGCCAGTGACAGGGGGTTGGAGGGGATGGGTAAAGAAACAAAAAGAGATAGCAAGGGAGCTGCTCTATGTTGAGATTTAAGAGAAACAACCAAATGTAACGTAAGGACTTTGTTTGGATCCTGATTTTAACAAATAAGCAATCATGCATTTAATTACAGATTAGGTATTAGATGATAAAATTAACATTGATTCTTTACTACATGTCATAATGACATTATGATTATGTAAGAAAATGTCAGCTGGGTGCAGTTACTCATGCCTTTAATCCCAGTACTTTGGGAGGCCAAGGTGGGCGGATTGCCTGAGGTCAGGACTTTGAGACCAGCCTGGCCAACACAGTGAAACTCCGAAACTCCGTCTCTACTAAAAATACAAAAATCAGCTGGGCGTGTGGCACACGCCTGTAATCCCAGCTACTCAGGAGGCTGAGGGAGGAGAATCACTTGAACCCAGGAGGTGGAGTTTGCAGTGAGCCGAGATCCTGCCACTGTACTCCAGCCTGGGTGATAGAGCAAGACTCTATCTCAAAAAAAAAAAAAAAAAAAGAAAAAAAATTTTTAGAGAGGCATGCTAAAATATGTAGAGGTAAAATAATGTTTGATTTTCGCTTCAACAAAGAACAGGAGAAAAGAGATAAAGAAACTTGGCTAAGTCTTGATCAGTGTTGAATCCTGGTGCTGGGTATGTGGGATTCATTGTCCTATTTTACTTGTTTTTTTTCTTCCCCATAGTAAAATTATGTTTTATGCAGTTAGACTCTTGTTTATCTTACTAAAGAAGAAAGGGTTGAACCAAGTCTTACAGGGTAACCATATAATTATCTCTACTTAATTATACATTTAAATCAAAACATTTAATATCCCTACACGGAGTCAGCATGACTTTTGTTTTCTTTTTCCGAAGGTTGACTCTTACTTTGCTTTTATCTTATCTAGCCAAATCTTTCTCTCCACCAATGTGATCACTGGAAACAGAACTTTTAAGAAGTCTTCCATACAGTTCTAGGCTCATTAACACTTTCCAGCTGGAATCCTTTCCTTTCACTCATCTGACAGCCCACTCTTCCTGTTCCCCCAACTCTCTTCTCATAATTCTTTGTATGTCATATGTTCAGTATTTGATCTTCTGTTTTTGAGTTACACATGCAATATTTTTCACCGTCATCTGATGATTCTGGGTACTGGTATTATAAATTACTTTTGCGGGGGGGGTTATATGTTTTTCTAATTTTTAAATTATTGATGTAAAATTTGTAGCACAAAGGAAAAAATGGTCATTTTGGGGATGAGAATTACATATTTGTATAATATTTTAATTTTAAATAATTTTAAATGTTAGGTAATGTTTGCACAGGTTTTTTTTAAACCAAACCAAAGTGTATTGGCATTTATCCATAACCATGTGACACTTCTTTAAGATGGCAAACTCTCTGTGTTATACATTGCCAGGAAAGGAAAATCAGAACTCATAAGCTTGCTGTCAGATAATTTGTTGTTAATAGTTTCATCACTTCTTGGTTCTTTTTAGAATCAAGATTTATTTGCTACATCACAAAGTAAAGAATTTGATCCTCTTGGTCCATTGCCACCTGGATGGGGTAAGTCACCTGAGTTTCTTCACTGAATTCTGTCATTTCATTTTTTTTTCTTCCAATTCTGTCATTTTAAAACAGATATTTATGTCTGATACTGTGCTGTTGCTTAAGTGAATGTCTGGGAAGTTTTTTTTTTTTAATGTATCAGTTTAATTTACAAGTAGGCGTTAAATTCCCCAAACATTAAGTGGACTCTTTAAAACTTTTATTGACACTCAGAATTATTTTACTCTTCTACAGTTTAAAAATACTGATCACCCAGCAATAAAAAAGGAATGGGCTGTTGATACACACAGTAGGTCTGGGTGGACTTCAAGAGTAATTTGCTTAATGAGGAAAGTCAGTCTCAAAAGATGACATCCTGTGTGATTCAATTCATATAACATTCTCAAAATGACAAAACTAGAGATGGAGACCATATTAGTACTTGTCAGGAAACAGGGTAGGTGGGAAGTGGATACAAATATTAAAAGGTAATGTGATGATGACGATTCCATCATACAAGATGATTCTGTATCTTGATTTTGGTGATAGGTGATTACGTAAATGTATACATGAGATAATGCATAGAACTATACATTTACAGAAATGAACTCAGCTTTTAAACATGATGAAAATTTAACAATGTTTGTGGTTAACAATAATGTACCAATGCCACTTCTGTGGTTTTGATACTGTACTATAGTTATATAAGATGTCACCTTCGGAGAAAAATGAAGTGTATGTGAGACTTGGTGCAATGTTTTACATCCTGTGAGTAATAATTAATTCAAAATAAAAAGCTTTTAAAAAAATTGTGATCACATTGGTTCTCCTAAAACAAGGCTCAGAGTTTGGTTAAGTTGGCATTATCTGATAGAAGAGTGGAAGGAGCACATGTGAAGGTGTCAACTTCATGCTCTACACCATGGAGCTCATGAGCGTGTCCTGTTATTGAGGATATTTGATACCTCAGTTATTAAAATAGACCTTAATAGACTTTAAGCTGGACCTACCCTACTAGGTTCTATTTTATAGTGTTATGTAATACTCATAGCATTATAGCAAGGTTTCAGAATAAAGATGGCAATATAGAAAGTTTTGCATAGAAGCAAGATAATAATATAATAGAAAGTGGACAGCAACATAAAGTCCATTGTGGAACCAGAGTTTTGTCTTAAAGAGCTGAAGATATTTCATAATATTGGGATAAATTCAGAAAGTGATATTTCTAGATTGGGAAAAATTGGTCCTCAAGATACATTGCTCTAGCAGTACTGAGTAATGGAGAAAAAATATTGGTGTGTTAGGATCACATGAATGGGGTTAATAAATGCTACTAGTGGTGTACACTTTTCTTTGAGAAATCTCATTGCTCTTATTTAAAGGTATCTATTCTCAAAACACTTCTGTGAGTCAATAAGGTAAAAAATGTATTAGGCCATACTTACAACTGTTATTGTTATTAGCTTACAACAACAGGGGGACATACGAAAGTTGTGGGCCAGGTGCAGCAACTTATACTTCATAATCCTAACACTTTAGGAGGCCGAGGCAGGTGAATCACTTGAGTTTAGGAGTTCAAGACCAGCCTGACCAACATGGTGAAACCCCGTCTCTACTCAAAATACAAAAAAATTAGCTGGGCGTGGTGGCGTGTGCCTGTAATCCCAGCTGCTCAGGAGGCTGAGGTAGGAGAATCACTTGAACCTGGGAGGCGGAGGTTGCAGTGAGCCGAGATCACACCATTGCACTGCAGCATAGGTGACAGAGCGAGACTCTGTCTCAAAAAAAAAAAAAAAAAAAAAATTAACCAGGCATGGTGGTGCTTGCCTATAGTCCCAGCTACTCTTGAGGCTGATGTGGGAGGATCGCTTGAGCTTGGGAGTTTGAGGCTTCAGTGAACCAAGATCACGCTATTGCACTCCAGCCTGGATGACAGAGCAAGACCCTGTCTCAAAAAAAGAAGAAAGTAAGTTGTGAGTTTCTGTCTTTACCAAAGCCTGGCAGCCTGGAGTTAAGGAGTCCTCTGTTTCTGTTGAAGCCTAAGAGTGGTCAGTGAATGGTTAGGATGAAGCACTTTAGAAGAGGGGATGTTGCCCTTACAAGGCATATTAAACTTAACCTGTCAGATTGCGTTCCCAGACATTGATGGTTTTATTTTTAGAGTTTCCCAGCTTTATTTCTAGAGTTGTATGCCTTATGTTAAAGAAGGAGAAAAAACTCATGCACTAAAAGGATATATCCAAAGGATATGTATTTATCCTCTTAATTTTATTGCAGGCCAGGCATGGTGGCTCACACCTGTCATCCCAGTGCTTTGGGAGGCCAAAGTGGGAGCATTGCTTGAGCCCAGGAGTTGGAGACCAGCCTGGGCAACATAGTGAAAACCTGTCTCTATAAAAAAATACAAAAAATAGTGTGGGTGTGGAGGAACACCTCCGTAATCCCAGTTACTTGGGAGGCTGAAGTAGGAGGATCACCTGAGCCTGAGAAGTCAAGGCTGCAAGTAGGCCAAGATTGTGCCACTGTGCTTCAGCCTGGGCAACAGAGTGAGACCCTGTCTCAAAAAAAAAAAAAGTTGCAGAAAAACTGTGACTTGCTTCATGGTTATGGTCAGAGACAAACTGTTTTACTCCTTCTCTAGGGCAGGTGTAGAAAAAATTGCCTCTTGCTTATAGAAACCTGAATTGTGAGCTACATTTCCTTTATCAGAAAAGCCTTTCCTGCAAGCTGGTCCTTGCCTTGTGTATTCATCATTTTGTTTAACATCCAGATCTTTCTCATTTTTACTTTAGCCAACAATACTTTGCTAAAATACTGTGTTAAAGATCCAGCTTAGCCAGGTTATTAGAGTCTTGTTCTGTTATCTTACAGTCTGCTTATTTTTAGGTTTCACATTTCACATGTTGAAGTAGTGCCCCTTCCTATAGGTGTTTATGATTATCCTACTCGGACTGAGCACTACTTTATAACCCGCTGCCTTTGGGGCATATACCTTACTTGTAGAACCAGTGACAACACTGGTACTATATCAGATGAAGTGACCCACCTGACATACTTTCAGGATTGACCCAGGTTGATAGAATCCCAGATTACAGCCTGTACCCTTTCAGACTTTTATATGCTAAGACTAGACATTACTACCTCATAAGCTGACAGTGAAGAATTTGTATTTTAGAGATGGGATCTCCCTGTGTTGCCCAGGCTGTTCTCCGGCACAGTAATTGCACACTACAGCTTTGAACTCCTGGCCTCAAGCAATTTTCTTGCCTCAGCCTCCTGAGTAGCTGGAATTACAGTTGTGTGCCACCATGCCTAGCTAGGCAATGAAGAATTTTTAACACATGCACATACTATAGAGGGTAGAGAACAAAGAACACTTTGGTTCACCAGTATTATTTAATAGGGCTTTGTGTAGGTGCTTCTCCAATCAAGTATGAAGATATTTCCTAATTTTCCTAGTTACTGTGAAAGAATACATAGAATGACAAGAAGTATCTGTTTTTTACTGTTTTATTCATTATTCATCAAGTCAGGAAGTGTTCTAATGTGCATTTGAATTTGATGTTCAGTAATTTCAGTATTGTTTATCATGTGATTTTTCTTTTTTTTTTGGATACGGGCGCCCAGGTTGGAGTGCAGTGGCCGGATCTCAGCTCACTGCAAGCTGCATCTCCCGGGTTTACGCCATTCTCCTGCCTCAGCGTCCCGAGTAGCTGGGACTACAGGCGCCTGCCACCTCGCCCGGCTAGTTTTTTGCATTTTTTTAGTAGAGACGGGGTTTCACCGTGTTAGCCGGGATGGTTTCAATCTCCTGACTTCGTGATCCGCCCGTCTCGGCCTCCCAAAGTGCTGGGTTTACAGGCTTGAGCCACCGCGCCCGGCCTATCATGTGATTTTTCAACAAAGAAATCAGTTCTACAGCCACAGCACTTCCTCTCATTAAGTAGATGAGTCTTCAGTTCACAAGTGTGTCAAGGCTGATCTCAGCAGCATATACTTAGAATATATACGGGAAAAATATTTGCTATTAATTTTCTCTTGCCTCATGTTATCTTCTGAAAGGAAAATCTCGGTCTGAAATCTGAACTTTGCTGACAGGTAAAGATGAACGGCAATTACAGTGGCTCACACCTGTAATCCCAGTACTTTGGGAGGCCAAGGCTTGTGTCCAGGAGTTCGAGGCCAGGCTGGGGCAACATGGTGAAACCCTATCTTTACGAAAAATACAAAAATTAGCTGGGTGTGGCATGCCTATAGTTCCAGCTGCTTGGGTGGCAGAAGTGGGAAGATTGCTTGAGCCTGGGAGGTCAAGGCTGTAGTGAGCTGTGATTGTATCACTGTACTCCAGCCTGGGCAACAGAATGAGACTGTTTCAAAAAAAAAAAAGAAAAAAGTTGAGTATGTGCTCAGCTATATACTTAGGGTATTATTTTTAGGTTATAAAAATTATTTGAATATATATTTTTAAACAAGAAAGTGAATTCTGGCCAGGTGTGATGGCTCATGCCTGTAATTCCAGCACTTTGGGAGGCTGAGGCAGGTGAATCACCTGAGGTCAGAAGTTCATGATCAGCCTGGCCAACATGGTGAAACCCTGTTTCTACAAAAAATACAAAAATTAGCTGGGAGTGGTGGCGGGTGTCTGTAGTACCAGCTACTTGGGAGACTGAGGCAGAAGAATTGCTTAAACCTGAGAGGTTGAGGCTGCAGTGAGCTGAGATCGCGCCACTGCACTCCAGTCCAGCCTGGGTGACAGAGCAAGGCTCCGTCTCAAAAAAAAAAAAAAAAGAAGAAGAAGAAGAAGAAAGAGAGAATTCTGTATTCTGCAAATAAATTTTTAAAATTTAATGCGACTGCCAAGACATGAACTTACCTTGCTGTCATGTTAACAGGAGCAAGCTGTAACACTGTGGGTGATTATGTTTTTGTTTAGAGACAGCCTTTGAGTTGGTGATAAGCTTATGCACTGAAGATGCCTTGACCAGCAAAACCTATGTGTCATGAGAGGCAGAGCCCACTTTTCTGTATATTTTGCACATTGGAGTTCTATTTTCATTTTAAGCTCAGCTGACATAGAAGGTAGCTTTTTTTTTTTTTTTTTTTTTTTTTTTTTTGAGACGGAGTCTCGCTCTGTTGCCCAGGCTGGAGTGCAGTGGCCGGATCTCAGCTCACTTCAAGCTCCGCCTCCCAGGTTCACGCTATTCTCCTGCCTCAGCCTCCCAAGTAGCTGGGACTACAGGCGCCCGCCACCTCGCCCGGCTAGTTTTTTGTATTTTTTTTAGTAGAGACGGGGTTTCACCGGGTTAGCCAGGATGGTCTTGATCTCCTGACCTTGTGATCCACCCGTCTCGGCCTCCCAAAGTGCTGGGATTACAGGCTTGAGCCACCGCGCCCGGCCAGAAGGTAGCTTTAAATGTCAGAATCAAGTTTGTGATACTCACTAGTTACATCCATTGTAACCTCTGTTATCACTGCTACTTGAAATCATAGAATCAGTGTTGGAAATAAATATTACCAAATACGAATTGACAAGACTATAATTTGGCCTAAAACTGATCCAAATGATCTCAAGTGTTATTTGAGAAATAGTTACCAATTTTTCTTTTTCTTTTTTCTTTTTTGTTTTTGAGATGGAGTTTTGCTCTTGTCGTCCAGACTGGAGTGCAATGGCACGCTCTTGGATCACTGCAACCTTTGCCTCCCAGGTTCAAGCGATTCTCCTGCCTCAGCCTCCCTAGTAGCTGGGATTACAGGTGCCCACCACCATGCCCAGCTAATTTTTGTATTTTTAGTATAGACGGGGTTTCGACCCTGTTGGCCATCCTGAGGTCATGAGTTTGAGACCTTAGCCTCCCAAAGTCTCCCAAAGTGCTAGGTCATGAGTTTGAGACCTTAGCCTCCCAAAGTGCTAGGATTACAGGCATGAGCCACAGTGGCCAATAGTTAACCAATTTTTCAAACCACAGGAAATAAAAATTAGCCATGTCAACTGGGATTAAGCTTAAATTTTTGTTTAAAATGCTGATTTTTAGAAACTAAGCTTTTAAAGAAGTTTGAATTCATTCTATGATCTTTAATACATCAGTTATTCATTTTGAGACATGTTGAACAAATAAAAAATTTAGGATACAGGAAGAGTCCCATCTTTTGAAGAATTCATTGGTAATGGGACAGAGAAGTCAGTAGTTCAAAATTAGCAGAACTTAAATTAAAATTTCAAGTCTATTTAACTTGTTTAATTAAAAGAGAAAATTATACCCACTTTTTTTTTTTGAGACAGAATGTTGCTCTCTCGCCACGCTGTAATCCAGTGGCACCATCTCAGCACACTGCAACCTCTGCCTCCCAGGTTCAAGCAATTCTCCTACCTCAGCCTCTCGAGTTGCTGGGACTGCAGGTGCATACCGCCATGTCCAGCTAATTTTTTTTTTTTTTTTTGTATTTTAGTAGAGATGGGGTTTCACCATGTTGCACAGGTTGGTCTTGAACTCCTGAGCTCAGGCAATCCACCCGCCTCAGCCTCCCAAAGTGCTAGGATTACAGGCGTGAGCCACTGTGCCCGGCCAATATCCACATCTTCTAAACCTTAATGGGGAAATCTCAGGAAAGAAGGTAAAATTTTGTAGACTGGGAACAAGAAAACAAGGAGAATTCTAAAGCAAGAGGCAGTTGGGGAACAAGCAGCAGCTTTAGATGCAGTAGTTAGAGAACTGAGTTCTGTTTCCTATCCCTTGTATAGAAAGTTACTGTAGATATTTAGGATTTTGGAACTGGGTATATTAAGGAACGAGATATGTTAAGTATATTAAGAAATAAGGTCTTTTCTAGTTGAATAATGCCTGGCATATACCAAAAAAATTACATTATTTCCTTATTTTATGTATATTTTTATATATTATGTGTGCACGCACATGCACATATATATATATATATATATATTTGTGTGTGTGTGTGAGACAGGGCTCACTGCAGTCTTGACCTCCCAGGTTCAGGCGACTTTCCTGCTTTAGCCCCACAAGTTGCTTCTGTGTCCCATTACCAATTAATTCTTCAAAAGATGTGACTTTTCCAGTATCCTAAATTTTTAATTTGTTCAACATGTCTCAAAATGAATAACTGATGTATTAAAGATGACAGAATGGATTCAAACTTTTTAAAAAGCTTAGTTTCTAAAAATCAAATTGCGTAAGTTGCAGGGCTAAGGCAGGAGGATTGCCCAAACCTGGGAGGTCAAGGCTGTAGTGAGCTGAGATCACACCACTGCACTCCAGCCTGGGTGACAAAGTGAGACCTTGTATCCAAAAAAATTATATATATATATATGTGTGTGTGTGTGTGTGTGTGTGTGTGTGTGTGTGTGTATGTATATTTACATATACAAATGTATATTTAATGTATATTAAATATATATATTAGTGGGCTGCCAGCACGGCCCACTAATTTTTTTATATTTTTTGTAGAGATGAGGTTTCACCATGTGGCCCAGGCTGGTCTCAAACTCCTGAGCTCAAGCATTCTACCCACCTTGGCCTCCCAAAGTGCTGGGTTTACAGGCCTGAGCTACCCCGCCTGGCTCCTTATTATATTTTAATGAATGAAATGATGTGGTATGGAAAAAAAAAAATCCCTAAATGGAGACCTGAGTTTCCATCTCATCTCTGCTACTTAATTCTGAGGTTTCAGGTAGATTATTTAACCTATCTGAGTTTTCTTATCTTAAGGATAAAGATGAATTCACCTACCCTATGGGACCATTAAGAATAAAATGAAGGTCCTGTGTGAAAAACCAAATACCTGTCCATTATTCTTGCTGCTGTTGGTTGGATTGAGTAGAAAGGTCCTATGATTAGGACATTATAAAGTACGTCTACGTAGCTTCTAAGATGTAATACTTCTATAACTTCAGTAAGGATGTGCATTTAATAGTCAAAGAATAAATTAAACCTTTTAAAGCTGTGATTTAAAAACTGTAAAATAAACAATGCAATGAGAAATGGGCAAATTCAGATAATTTTATTTTACCTTGAGCAAGAAGACTATGCCAATGCTAATGCTTTGCTTTCCCCCGCCCCTGCCTTTCCCAAAGAGAAGAGAACAGACAGCAATGGCAGAGTATATTTCGTCAACCACAACACTCGAATTACACAATGGGAAGACCCCAGAAGTCAAGGGTAAGAATAGTTACTTGTGTATATTTAATCTCTTAAAGATTATACCTTATTTCTAACAACTGAAGAAAATCAAAGTTCATATTCTTTTGCCAAAGACCTAAAACATTAATCACCTACATACTTTGGAAAGAGGAAATTATACTACTATTTTCATCTAATGGAAAGTTTGAAGATTTCTTCAAAGTACAGGAAAAATCTTTGGCTGGGCATGGTGGCTTATGCTCATTATCCCAGCACTTTGGGAGGCCAAGGAGGGAGGATTATTTGAGGCCAGGAGTTCAAGACCTTTGTAACCAGTGAGACCCTGTCTCTACAAAAAAAATCCCCAAAAGTTGGGTGTGTTGGCATGTATACCTGTAGTCCCAGCTACTTGGAAGACTGAGGTGGGAGGATCACCTGAGCCCAGGAAGTCGAGGCTGCAGTGAACTGTGATTGTGCCAGTACACTCCAACCTGGAGGACAGGTTTAGGCCTGTTTAAAAAAAAAAAAGATAGAAAAAACAAAAAAATTACCTGGCACATGAGAATATACTTATTAACATATATATATATTATTTTTAATTACTAAGAACAGATTAGTGATTCTAAATCAGGATTTCTTAACCTGAGATCACTGGTTAAGAATCCAGGGTATGTGGCTTCAAGGGGGAAGAAAATACTTACTCAGTTTTATTACTCTTTACTGGAAATTTAGTATCTTCTTCCATTATGAAAGTAGGCTACTACCATGTAGGATTAAGAATGCCTAGGACTTTGCTATCAGTAGAAGTCAAAGGATGTTAAAAAATATTCTGTGGTGGCCGGGCGCGGTGGCTCAAGCCTGTAATCCCAGCACTTTGGGAGGCCAAGACGGGCGGATCACAAGGTCAGGAGATCGAGACCATCCTGGCTAACACGGTGAAACCCCGTCTCTACTAAAAAAAATACAAAAAACTAGCCGGGCGAGGTGGCGGGCGCCTGTAGTCCCAGCTACTTGGGAGGCTGAGGCAGGAGAATGGTGTGAACCCAGGAGGCGGAGCTTGCCGTGAGCTGAGATCTGGCCACTGCACTCCAGCCTGGGCAACAGAGCGAGACTCCGTCTCAAAAAAAAAAAAAAAAAATTCTGTGGTTGTTGCAGATATCTCTAAATACTTGTTTACATACATCATTACAAGGACTTGCTAATTAATTTATTAATAAAGATATATATATATTATCACAAGGTTCTCTCTTCGTTGCCCAGGCTGTTCTCAAACTCCTGTCTTTAAGCGATTCTCCTGCCTTAGCCTCCTGAGTAGCTGGGATTACAGGAATAATGTTTTGACAATTATGTATATATAATGGTTTATCTTTGTAACATTTTATACTAGTATGCATATTAGTTTGCTAGGGTTGCCTTAACAAAGTACTACAAAGGAGGTCGCTTAAACTACAGAAATGTGTTGTCTCAGGGTTGTGGAGGCTAGAAGCTTGAGATCACAATGTCAGCAGGGCCATGCTCACTCCAAAGATACTAGGAAGTGATCTGTGCCAGGTCTTTCTCCTGGCTTCTTGTAGCTCCTTGGCTTGTGGCAGCATGAATCCAGTCTTCACATGGCATTCTTCCTGTCTATATGTCTATCTGTACCCAAATTTCCTGTTTATAAGGACATCAGTCCTATAGGATTAGTGGCCCACAGTACTTCAGTATGACCTCATCTTAATACATCTGCAGTAACTCTGTTTCCAAATAAGGTCACATTCTGAGTTATTGAGGGCCAGGATATAAACATGCATTTGGAGGGAGGACACAGTTCAACTCATAACAGTCTATAATACTATGCATTTATCAGACTGCCAGAAGGTTCCATTCTGCAAGGAATTTGGCAGACTGTACAGTCAGAGGACACAGTCCTCCACAAAACTGCTGCGCTCACTTCAGACATCAGCTACAATATTGGGGGTCCACAGGACGGCTCCAGACCAACTGCCTACAAATTTTGGGGCCCCCACCACCACTCTTAGGTATGATAAGTTACTAGAAATACTGAGAACTCATTGAAACCTCTTCTAGTCACATTTGTTATAGAGAAAGGATGCAAAATAAAACCAGTAGAAGGAAGAGGTGCACAGGGCAGAGTCTGGGAAGCTGTGAACATCCAGCATTGTTGTGGGACAGTGCACACTGAGGTTGAGTATCACCAACCAGGGAAGTCTCTGGTATCTAGGGGTTTTTATTGGGGCTTGATCACATACTGCCTTCATGGCTGACCTTTTGTCTCCAGTCCTTACTGGAGATTTGAGCTAATGCCCCCTTAGTCTCTAGTTCCTCCAGAGGTCAGAACTGATGTGCCATGTCCCACAACCTCCATTATAAATCGCATTATTGACTGTCCAGTGATCAAAGCTTCCAGGCAAACAAGGATATTCCCAATACACAGTGCATTCCAAGGGCTTAAACATCACCACCAAGTTGCTAAGGGCAAAAGCCAGACCTCTCTTTTGGTATAATTATAATTTGAGCACAGATAGTCCATGGCTCAAAAGTTTTAAAAACTTTTGTTCTGAAGGTATGGTTTAGGTTGCACTGAGCCGAGATCATACCACTGCATTCCAGCTTGGGCAACTCTGCCTCAAAAAACTAAAACTAAAAATAAAAGAAGATAAGCTTTAAACTTAAAATAGCTTTTTCTGCCTACCAACAAATGACCATTTTCTTTTTAAATGGAGTTACTGCATTTACTTAAATTTATTCAGTTTCCATAAAGGAAGAATGAAAAATTTCATAGATAACATTTTCTTCCTTTTTAGAATTTTTCTAAGGATATAATTGAGGAAGTCACCTTTCTATAATTTGCTACCATTTTTTTTGTTTCCCCTTAGATGTTTAAAGTTTTATAGCTAAAGTTAGAATTCTGTTTTAACAACACAGATGACCTAGTTCTATCTATTTTCAAGACAACTGGTTACTGAGCCTATCTTGCAAGTATAATTAAATTGAGAAACCTCTTTTTTACATTTTTGGTAGTCTATTTTATCTGACATTTGTATTCAGTTTAGTGAATACAACTTTGTTGTTGTTGTTGTTGTTGTTGTTGTTGTTGTTTGAGTTGAAGTCTCAGTCTGTCACCCAGGCTGGAGTGTAGTGACATGATCATGGCTTGCTGCAGCCTTGACCTCCTGGGCTCCAGCAATCCTCCTGCCTCAGCCTCCCAAGTGGCTTGGACTACAGGCATGGGCCACCACACCCAGCTTTTTTTTGTTTTGGTTTTTGTTTTTTTTTGAGACAGAGTCTTGCTTTGTTGCCCAGGCTGGAGTGCAGTGGCACGATCTCGGCTCACTGCAAGCTCCGCCTCCTGGGTTCACGCCATTCTCCTGCCTCAGCCTCCCGAGTAGCTGGGGCTGCAGGTGCCCGCCACCACGCCTGGCTAATTTTTTGTAGTTTTAGTAGAGACAGGGTTTCACCGTGTTAGCTAGGATGGTCTCGATCTCCTGACCTCGTGATCTGCCCGCCTCAGCCTCCCAAAGTGCTGGGATTACAGGTGTGAGCCACCGGGCCCGGCCTTTTTTTTTTTTTTTGTAGAGACAGTGTCTCTGTGTTGCCCAGGCTGGTGGGAAGTTGTTGCCAAACACACAAACTGAAATACATGATAAATGATGTCCTGGCAGTCTATAGGAAATACTTTTGGAAGACCTAAAGAGAAAAAACGATCAATCTGTAGTTGTAGTAGGAGTAATAACAATTACAACTTGAGGGCTCACTGTCACTTTTTACCTGTCTCATTTATTCCTCATCTAGTCTTATTACATAGACACTGTTGTCTCTATTTTATGGACAAAGAAACTGAAGTTTAGAGAGATTAACCAGCTTGTCTAGGATCACAGAGTTTTCAAGGTATAAAGATAGGTATTAAGGAGGTGGCATGGAATACTTCATAAATAACATTTTAGGCTGTGTGTAGTTTCTCAACATCTGTAATCCCACTGCTTTGGGAGGCCAAGGTAGGAGGATCACTTGCAGTCAGGAGTTCAAGACTAGCCTGGGGAACATAATGAGACCCCTGTCTCTACATAAAATTTTATAATTTAACTGGGTGTGGTGGTATACACCTGTAGTCCTAGCTACTAGGGAGGCTGAGGCGGGAGGATTGCTTGAACCCAGGAGTTTGAGGCTGCCTTGAGCTATGATCAGGCCACTGCACTCCAGCCTGGGCAACAGAGTGAGATTCTTTCTCTTTTCTATTTTTTTTTGAGATGGAATCTTGCTCTGTCACCCAGGCTGGAGCGTAATGACGCCATCTTGGCTCATTGCAAGCTCCGCCTCCCGGGTTCACACCATTCTCCTGCCTCAGCCTCCCAAGTAGCTGGGACTACAGGTGCCCGCCACCATGCCTGGCTAATTTTTTTTTGTATTTTAGTAGAGACGGGGTTTCACCGTGTTAGCCAGGATGGTCTCGATCTCCTGACCTCGTGATCTGCCCGCCTCGGCCTCCCAAAATGCTGGGATTATAGGTGTGAGCCACCGCACCCGGTCGAGATTCTTTCTCTTAAAAAAATCTTTTTTTTGAGTTGCCTTAGTAGAAAAACAATAGATAACATGGGACAAAGGGAAAAGCTTCATTTGGAGGTGTGACAGATCATATATTATTTAAGGAAGTGCTGAGTGGCCATACACTGTGAAATCATGGGATTCATGAAAGGGAGTTAGAGGTTTGGGTGCAAAGATAAATCTGAAAGGGAATATTTAGGCCAGAGTATAGAGGCTGAGTGAATGCCATATGAAGAACTTTAGATCATAATCATTGGTAACGGTGGAACAGTGATAGTACTTTACAGAGATAGCTAATTTAATAAGATCTCTATTTTAGGAAGATACTCTGTTAGCATAAGAGCAGGCCTAGAGTGAGATCAAATGAGGAACACGAGTTAGGTGACTGTTGAAAAAATGCAGAAGATGGCTGGACACAGTGGCTCATGCCTGTAATCCTAGCACCTTGGAAGGCTGAGGTGGGAGGATCACAAGGTTAGGAGTTCGAGACGAGCCTGGCCAACATGGTGAAACCCTGTCTCTACTAAAAATACAAAAATTAGCTGGGCGCGGGCATGGTGGCAGGCGCCTGTAGTCCCAGCTACTCGGGAAGCTGAGGCAGGAAAATCGCTTGAACCTGGGAGGTGGAGGTTGCAGAGAGCCAAGATATCGTGCCCCTACACTCCAGCCTGGGCGACAGAGCGAGACTCCATCTCAAAAAAAAAAAAAAAAAAAAAAGAAAAAGCAGAAGAGAAAGAAAGCCAGAGAAAGGATGATGTTGGGGATTGGAAATAGAGATGAACACGAAGACTTCTAAGGCAGAATGGTTAGAACTTGGTTAACAAGATGTTTAGAGTGAGTCATTAGCTAATGGGGAACATAAGCCAAGTAGACGGCAGAAGACTTGAATTGTGGTTGATGGACTTTGAATTTAACCTGTTTGTAGGATGTCCACATAGATGTCTAGTATACAACTGAAATTACTGAACTGAATGGCTTTCTAAAATATTTCTGCTATGTTTATTGACATTTGTGGCTTCTGTACTTGGCAAACAAGCAACTCTTTAATATTTTTTGTTTATGTTTTTTCCTGTGTTTTGTAGTCAATTAAATGAAAAGCCCTTACCTGAAGGTTGGGAAATGAGATTCACAGTGGATGGAATTGCATATTTTGTGGACCACAATAGAAGAACTACCACCTATATAGATCCCCGCACAGGAAAATCTGCCCTGTAAGTTTTCTAAACATTGTAGATTAAGAGTAAAAAACTAGTCCTTCAGATTTTGATATAAAGATTTGTATTAGCAAGGAGTGGAAATCTTAGTATTTCTTGAGTTAGCTCGACAGTAGTTTCTGTTCATTAAGTATTTTGCATTTCCATCTCCGTCTTGGATGTTTTATTCTAGAGATTTTCATATTTCTTACCATTTGTTCACACAGCACTAAATGAAACTATTTAGAATTTATAGATATTGTGCTGCTTACCAATTAATCTCTGATTTCTGATTTTCAGCTTCTTTCATTCCCATTACTTTTTGACTTTAAAAAAGCTCTCATTCTCCCCCACCCCATTTCTGAGAAAGTAACCTTTTGATTTGCTTATTTGCTTTATGACTTTTTTATGGGAAAATATGTAACCTAAAGTTTCTTGTTTTATGTGTACAGTTCAGTGGCATTAAGCACATTCATATTGTTGCATAATCATTACCACCATCCATCTCCAGAATGTTTTCATCATTCCACACTGAAACACTGTACCCTTTAAACAATAACTTTAGCAGACCTGGTAACCAGCATTCTACTTTCTTTCTCTATGAATTTGACTACTTTAAGTACCTATATTATTGGAGTCATACAATATTTATTCTTATGACTCTGGATTATTTCACTAAGGTCATGTCTTCAAGATTCACCCATGTTGTAATGTGTATCAACATTTTCATTCCTTTTTGAAGCTGAATAATATTCCAGTGTGTATATATATATCACATTTTGTTTATTCACAGATATTTGCATTGTTTCCATTTTTGGGGGGGTATTATAAATAATGCTGCTCTGACCATTGGTATACAGTTATCTGCTTGAGGCCGGGCGCAATGGCTCATGCCTGTAATCCCAGCACTTTGGGAGGCCAAGGCGGGCAGATCACCTGAGATCAGGAGTTAGAGACCAGCCTGGCCAACTTGGCAAAACCCCATCTCTACTAAAAATACAAAAATTAGCTGGGCATGGTGGCACACACCTGTAATCCCGGCTACTCGGGAGTCTGAGGCAGGAGAACTGCTTGAATTCAGGCGGCAGAGGTTACAGTGAGTCAAGATCATGCCACTGCACTCTAGCCTGGGTGACAGAGTAAGATTCCCTCCATCTCAAAACAACACCAAAAACCAAATATCTATTTGAGTTCCTACTTTGATGACTTTTGTATCTATACCCAAAAGTGGAATTGCTAGATTAAATATTAATTCTCTATTTAATTTTTTGAGGAACCACCATACTGTTTTTCAGAGTATCTATGCCAGTTTACATTTCCCCCCTAGTGCAGAAGAATTCCAATTTCTGTACATTCTCATCAGCTCTTTTGTTTTTGTTTTTTTTTCTTCGTCATCATCGTCTTTTTTAAATAGCCATCCTTAATGTAGTATTTCATTGTGGTTTTTCTTTGTATTTTTCTAATGATTTATGATGTTGAGTATCTTTTCATATGCTTCTTGGCCATTTGTGTATCTTCTTTGGAGAAATGTCTCTTTAAGTCCTTTGCCCATTTGTTGCTGTTGTTTTTCTTTTCTTTTGCAGTTGAGTTTTAGGTGTTCTCCATATATTCTGGGTGTTAATCCTTTATCAAATACATGATTTGCAATTATTTTCTCCCATTCTGTGATTTCCTTTTTACTGCAGATAGTGCCCTTTGATGCATAAAACATTTTAGATTTTGATGTCTGATTTGTGGATTTTTTCGTTTTTCTTTTTTCTTTTTTTTTTTTGAGATGGAGTTTCGCTCTTTTTGCTCAGGCTGGAGTGCAATGGTGCGATCTCGGCTCACCACAACCTCCGCCTCCTGGGTTCAAGCAATTCTCCTGCTTCAGCCTCTCAAGTAGCTGAGATTACGGGCATGCACCACTATGCCCAGCTAATTTTGTATTTTTAGTAGAAGATAGGGTTTCTCCTTGTTGAGTAGGCTGATCTCGAACTCCCGACCTCAGGTGATCCGCCCGCCTTGGCCTCCAGAAGTGTTGGGATTACAGGCGTGAGGCTCTGTGCCCTGCCTGCCAATTTTTTGTCACCTGTACCTTTGGAGTCATATCCAAGAAGTCATTGCCAAATCCAGTGTCATAAAGCTTTGCCTTAAGTTTTCTTCTGAGAGTTCTTTTTTTTTTTTTTTTTTTTTTGAGATAGAGTCTCGCTCTGGCGCCCAAGCTGGAGTACAGTGGCAAGATCTCAGCTCACTGCAACCTCTGCCACCCGGGTTCAAGCGATTCTTTTGCCTCAGCCTCCTGAGTAGCTGGGGTTTTTGGCACGCACCACCACGCCTGGCTAATTTTTGTATTTTTAGTAGAGATGGGGTTTTACCACGTTGCAGGCTGGTCTCAAACTCCTGGCCTCATGATCTGCCCGCCTCAGCCTCTCAAAGTGCAGGGATTACAGGCGTGAGCCACCACACCTGGACTGAGAGTTCTTTAATTTTAGCTCTTACATTTAGATCTTTTATCCATTTTGTGTTAAATTTTGTATATGTTGTTGAGTAAGGGTCCAACGTCATCTTTTTGCGTGTGAATGTCCAATTTTCCCAAGCATCATTTGTTGAAAAGACTGTCCTTTCCCCATTGCATGATTGTGGCACCATTGTCAATAGCATTTTACCATATATGCAAGGCATTATTTCTGCGCTGTTTATTCTATTGGTCTGTATGTCTGACTTGCCAATACCACGCTATAACTTTGTAGCAAGTTTTCAAATCAGGATGGTATGTGTCCTCCAACTTTGTTCTTTTTTCAAGCTTCCTTTGGCTATTCAGGGTCCTTTGAGATTCCATATGAATTTTAGGATGGATTTTTTTATTTCTTGGGAAAAAAAAAAAAAAGGTCATTTGGATTTTGATAGGGGCTTTTATTGAATGTATAAAATCAATAAAATCTATATTGACCGATATAGATTTAATATCTATATCAATTTGGGGTAGTGTGGTCATCTTAACAATATTAAGTCTTCCAATCCATGAATGTGGATATCTTTGTGTTTTCTTTAATTTATTTCAGTAGTGTTTTGTGGTTTTTCAGTGTACAAGTCTTTTGCCTTCTTGGTTAATCCTAAGTATTTTTTATTCTTTGTGATGCTATTGTAATGGAATTGTTTTCTTAATTTTCTTTTCATTTGTTTATTCTTAGTATATAGAAATGGAACTGATTATTGTGTGTTGACTTTGTAAGCTGCTACTTTCGTGAATTCACTTATTCTGGCAGGATTTTTTGTTGTGGAATATTTAGTGTTTTCTTCATAAAATATCATAGCTTCTGAAAGCAGATAAGTTTTATTCTTCCCAATTTGGATATCTTTTTTTTTTTTTTTTCTTAATTCCTTTGGCTAGAGCTTCTGGATGCTATGTTGACTACAAGTGGCGAAAGTAGGCATTCTTGTATTGTTCCTCACCTTAAAAAACTAACCATTGAATGCGATGTTTGCTGTTAGATTTTTATATGTGCCTTTTATTATATTGAGGTAGTTTCCCTCTATTCCTAGTGTTTCCTATCCCTTTTGTGGAGTGTTTTATCATGAAAGTGTATTGAATTTTGTATAATCCTTTTTTGGTATCAATTGAGATGATCATGTGATTCCCCCCCCCCCCCGCATTCTGTTAATGTGGTATATTACATTGATTTTTCATAGGTTTAATTATGCATTTGATTTATCAGCTATAGGGATATTTAGACATATCCCTAGATATGTTTATTATATCCATAGATATAATAGCCATTTTTGCATTCGAGGAATAAATCCTTCTTAGTCAAAAGGATTGAAGTAGCCTTTTAATATGCTGTTGAGATTTTTTTGCTGATATTTTATTTAGTATTCTTCCATCAGTGTTCATAAGGGATGTTGGTCTGTAGTTTTCTTATAGTGTGGCTTGCTTAGAGCAAAGGTGGTTCCCTGTTACCTTCTAATTTTATACTTCTACACATTAAGAACTTTTATGTTTAAAACAGAAACTGGGAAATCAGGCTAATTTGGTATTAATGAAATACGGAGGTAATTTAGATATGGGGATACATTATCGATAATATTATTCTATCATTGATTTTAGTTACAGTAAGTTTGGGTGCATATAATAGAAAACACTAAAATAATAGTAGTTTATGTAAGATAGAAGTGTATTTGTCCCCATCATTTAAAAATAGTCCAGCGGGACTTCCACCACACCATTACCATTGCTCAAAAAAGAAGTTACAAGAAAAATCAGGAAATATTTTATTTTGAATAATGATTAAAACACCACATATCACAATTTGTGGGATTTAACTAAAGTAGTCTTCAGAGGGAAACTTTTTGTTTTAAAGAAGTAGATGAGAATATAGGAAAGATAAAATCAGTGATCTCTGCTTTTACATTCAGATGCTAGAAAAAGGAAAGTTACTAAACCTAAAGTAAGTACAAGAAAGGAAATAAATAAAAGCAGAACTCAGTGAAGTGGAAAAGAAACAATGGAGCGCCCAAAGCTAGAAGATAAATTTTTGGTAAACATGAATAATATTAACAACCCTTAGTAATTAAACCTGTAGAGAAAAAAAGAGGGACATTACTGTGTATTTTATAGACATTAAAAGGATAATAAAGGGTATATTTATGCCAATAAATTTAACATTTTAGATCAAATGGACAAATTCTATAAAAGGTATGTCACCAAAATGGACACAAGAACAGATAGTAAGTCTAAATATCTCTATAGCTGATAAATGCATAATTAAATAATTTTTAAGGGCAGGCCCAGTGGCTCACACCAGTAATCTCAGCATTTTGGAAGGCCAAGGTGGGCAGATCACTTGAGCTCAAGAATTCAAGACCAGCCTAGGCAACATGGTGAAACCCCATCTCTACAAAAAATACAAAATATTAGCCAGGTGTGGTGGTGCGTGCCTGTAGCCCCAGTTATAGGGTGAGGTGGGAAGATTGCTTGAGCCCAGGAGGTTGTGGTGAACCGAGATCGCGCCACTGTACTTAAGCCTGGGTGACAGAGTGTGACCCTGTCTCAAAACAAAAAGGCCGGGCGTGGTGTCTCACGCCTGTAATTCCAGCACTTTGGGAGGCTGAGGCCCAAAAAAGAAAAGAGAAAAAGAAGAAAAAGATTTCTCATGAAGAAAATTCTGGCCTAGATGGTGTCACTGGTAAAGTTTATCAAACTTATAAGTTAATCAATCATATTCAAATTCATTCATAAAATACAAGTGATGGAAACATTTTCTTGTTTCTTTCTTTTTTTTTTTTTGAGACGGAGTTTCATTCTTGTTGCCCAGACTGGAGTGCAATGGCCTGATATCGGCTCACCGCAACCTCTGCCTCCCTGATTCAAGCGATTCTCGTGCCTCAGCCTCCCGAGTAGCTGAGATTACAGGCGTATGCCACCATGCCCAGCTAATTTTGTATTTTTAGTAGAGACGAGGTTTCGGGCCATTGCATTCCACCCTGGGTGACAGAGTGAGACACCATATCAAAAAAACCAAACTAGGTTAAAGGAGAAAAATCATATGATAATTTCAGGAAAAGTTTTTGACAAAATACAATGCAAATTTATGATAAACCCTCAGCTACCTTGGAAATTTTTTTTGAGATGGAGTCTCACTCTGTTGCCCAGGCTGGAGTGCAGTGGCGCGATCTTGGCTCACTACAAGCTCCGCCTCCCGGGTTCACACCATTCTCCTGCCTTAGTCTCCCAAGTAGCTGGGACTACAGGCACCTGCAACCACGCCCAGCTAATTTTTTGTATTTTTAGTAGAGACGGGGTTTCACCGTGTTAGCCAGGCTGATCTCGATCTCCTGACCTCGTGATCCACCTGCCTCGGCCTCCCAAAGTGCTGGGATTACAGGCGTGAGCCACTGCGCCCGGCCAGAAGCTGTTTTACCAGAAAAAAATTTAACAAAAGCTTACAACCAACATCACAATTAATGATGAAATACCTCACAAGATCAAGAATAAGACAAGGATATCTATTGACATCACTTCACTTAACATTGTGTTGGTATTCCTACCCAGTGCAGTGAGATGAGAAAAAGAAATACAGGCCAGGCATGGTGGCTCATGCCTGTAATCCCAGAACTTTGGGAGGCTGAGACGGGCAGATCACTTGAGGCCAGGAGTTCAAGACCAGCCTGGCAAACATGGCTAAACCCCATCTCTACTAAAAATACAAAAATTATTTGGTCATGTTGGTGGGCACCTGTAATCCCAGCTACTCAGGAGGCTGAGGCAGGAGAATCACTTGAACCTCTGGGTCAGAAGTTACAGTGAGCAGAGATTGCACCACTGCACTCCAGCCTGGGAGACGGAACGAGACTATATCTAAAAAAAAAAAAAGAAAAGAAAAGAAATACAAGATGTATAAATTGGAAAGGAAGAAGTAAAACTGTCTCTTTTCCCCTCACACAAATAACATACGTATACAGAAAATCATAAAGAATCTAGAAAAAATTACTAGAACTAGTAAGTGAATTTAACAGAATATAAAGTCAATGTACAGAATCAGTTGTATTTCTACACTGATATACATTGAATTTTTCAGAGGAAGATAATCCAGTGGTATTAAGTCCAAGGCTAGCTGAGAAACCCCATGGTGTCATTAGTTATCTAAATTTCTTCTGTCTTTTCTGCCATCCTAGAGTGTGGTCTCATTCTTCAACATCACCTCATGTTCTGTGACAGCTTCTGAAACTTAAGCTATCAGAGTCATACTCCAGGCTGGAATTTGGAGTAAAACAAAACACACACACACACACACACACACACACTTTTTTAGCTATTTTAGCTCTTTTAGAAGATCCTTCTTTTTTTTTTTTTTTTTTTGAAACGGAGTCTAGCTTTGTCACCCTTGCTAGAGTGCAGTGGTGCGATCTCAGCTTGCTGCAGCCTTGAACTCTCAGATTCAAGTGATTCTCCTGCCTCAGCCTCCCAAGTAGATGGGATTAGAGGCACCTGCCACCACGCCCGGCTAATTTTTGTATTTTTAGTAGAGACAGAGTTTCACTATGTTGGTCAGGCTGGTTTCAAACTCCTGACCTCAGGTGATCCACCCACCTCAGCCTCCCAAAGTGCTGGGATTTACAGGTGTGAGCCACAGCACCTGGCCAAAAAGATCCTTCTTGAAAGTTTCATATGCCACTTTCACTTAGAGACTTAAGTCACACGGCCATATAGAGAAATGTAGACTTTATTATATGTAGTATTCTATTCAGTTAAATAACCAGGATCTCACTTAAGGATAAAGGAGGGAATCGATGTTGGGATAGACAGCATTCTCAGATAGAACCCCTTCTACTTAGCCCTCTTAGATTTGCCAGCATAGAAAAGAAAATTCCACAATAGTAGCTTCAACAAAATCAAAGTTTTTCTTTTGTTTTTTCTGTTACTTAAAGGTATTCCTGGGGAAATATCTCTCAAAAAGCCAAGAATGGTTGTGTTAGGAATATGCTATATTTTTGTATTTGGTTAGTAAGTGCTGAGAGAGGGTGGGATGTTTTGCTTTCCTTCAGCATTATCTTTTACAAGCAGCTGTATATGTCCTGTTAACCCTTGTTCTTCCTCAGAGACAATGGACCTCAGATAGCCTATGTTCGGGACTTCAAAGCAAAGGTTCAGTATTTCCGATTCTGGTGTCAGGTTAGTGTTGGAACTGTATCTCTGTACTCCCTTTCCTTTGTTGTGTTGCTTGTATTACACAGTGATTGTGAAAATACTTAACTCACAGAAAACCAGGTAAAACGGGAAGCATTAGAATTTCTTTCGTCTATTTTTAGAGCAAATTAATAGATTTTTCAATTAGATCATTTGTGACTTTGGTTGTTCAGAAAATTAAACCTCATGTAATCCCAGCACTTGGGGAGGCTGAGGTGGGCAGATCACTTGAGCTCAGGAGTTCAGGACCAGTCTGGGCAACATATTGAGGCCTTATCTCTGTAAATATATATATACATATATATATATTTTTTTAAGAAGAAAATTAAACTTGAGACCATCTGAATAAGCAAACATTGTCACTTTTTCCCAGTACCCATTACTTTCAGATTGCAGAAATCTTCAAATACAAGTTAAAGCATTTTCTGATATAATTGTAACCAGCTACTCTATTTTTATTTGTTATTTTTTCTGAGACAGGGTCTCACTCTGTCACCCAGGCTGGAGTGCATTGGTGCCATCATGGCTTACTGCAGCCTTGATCTACTGGGCTCAAGTGATCCTCTTGCCTCAGCCTTCTCACTAGCTGATACTACAGATGCACTCCACCACAGCTGGCTAATTCTTAGTAGAGACAGGGTGCCCTTATGTTGCCTAGGCTGGTTTTGAACTCCTGGACTCAAATTATCCTGCTGCCTCATCTTCCCCAAGTGCTAGGATTGTGGGCGTGAGCCAGCATGCCCGGACACCAGCCAATTTTATATCTATCATTTGATATAAATGACTTTGATAGATATATACATGTTCATACATACATGAACATATTCATACATAGATGTTATATTCAGTGTTTTTTTCAGATGTGATCAACTATTTCTGATGCATAGATATTTACTGGAATTAATGATTTTTTATGAGTTCTAAATGAATGCCCTAGTCAAAGTTATTATGATGAATATTTTTACAATTGAAACTTGTAATTAACTGGACCCATGGAAGCAAGAAGAATCTGGATTAACTATTGGAAAATAAGATTAAGTAAAGATTTATTTGATACATTATTAAGTAAGCAGTGTGCATATGAGATCAATCTTGTGGTTCTTTTCATGTATTAAGCTATAATTAGCATGAATACTCACCAATGCATTGGTAAACGTTATTGAATATAAATTTACATTCATAGTCTACTTGTTTCTGTAAGCAAAGATAAAAGTAAATAAAACTTTCCCCTTTTGATTTTTTGATAGGCTGTTTTAATGCTGAGAGTTGACTTAAGTCATTCTTCTATTTCAGCAACTGGCCATGCCACAGCACATAAAGATTACAGTGACAAGGAAAACATTGTTTGAGGATTCCTTTCAACAGGTACGGTTTCATTCTCTCAATAATTTTTGCCCTGGCTGCTAGCTTAGGACCAGCTTTTGGTGCTGTCAGTTTAATCTGAACAGTCTGGATCTTCTTGAGTTGAAGTCCTTGAATTTTTCAAGTGTGATCTCGTTGCCAGCCACCTTAGGGCTTAAGAGGTGTGTGTGTGTGTGCGCGCGCGCGCACGTGCGTGTTTCAGGTTTCTGTTTCTAAACTGGTATGATTTGAAATAAATGCATAGGTAAAATAATAGATTTTTGGTAGCCAAAGGTCTGGAAATACCCATATGAACATTATCAGATTGTAGAAAGGAGAGGGGAAGACTTTTGTTTTTACACTTCAGTATTACTTGGATTTTTGCAATAAGCGTGTGTTACTCTTAACAGGAAAAAAAGTAACTGGTCATTGGTGACAGTATCTAAAAAAAGATATATATGAGTTTTCAGAAGTAGTCAGCAGATTTTTTCACTTGTCTTCAGAACTTGAGTTAATTTACTCTCTGGGCACATGGCTCATGCCTGTAATCCCAGCACTTTGGGAGACTGAGGCGGGTGGATCATCTGAGGTCAGGAGTTTGAGACCAACCTGGCCAACATGGTGAAACCTTGTCTCTATTAAAAATATAAAAATTAACTGGGCCTGGTGGCCGGTGCCTGTAATCCTGTAAAGCTACTCAGGAGAGTTGGCTGAACCTGCGAGGCGGAGGTTGCAGTGACCTGAGATCATGCCATTGCATTCCAGGCTGGGCAATAAGAGCGAAACTCCATCTCAATAATGAAGAAAAAGAACTTGAATTAATCTACTATTTACCTTTATATTATAGATATCACTAATAACCTACTGCAACTAAATGTTAAAATGATTGTTATATAGAAGGTTAAAATAGTGAAAAAATGTCTTAAAATGTCTTAAAATGAAAACATCTGGTTAGTCCTTGTTTTATATCCAGATGTGGAAGTGATTCTTTATTTTCAAGCACCAGTGATATTGTAGTAACTACAGCTTCAAGAAGTATGGAATTGAATGCAAAGGGAAAAGAGGTTGAGACAGTTGGTAGTAGCTGGCTACTTGCTTTCAGAATCAGTTTTGTTCATTTCCTAATGGAACTTCAATTATTGACATTAAAGGAAAAAGCCAATTGGCATCCTGCTATATAGGAGCAGAAAGCTTTTTAGTGGGAACTGGAGCTTTATTGAGGCCATTTAGAGAATTATGAATCATCCCCTTGATCTGATGTAAGTGTCAAAGGCCATTCCCCACCCTAGTCCTTGCCCATTTCTAATTTTATGTTCATAACCACCCTTTTATCACTCTGTTGGATGAGTTTCTTGAAACAACTTGCTTACCAATCTTACCTGTACTGGAAAGATGCAAAACATTAAACTGTTCCTTTATCTTTTGACTTTGAAACCTGAAGTCTTTTGCAAAATAACAGACTAGATGGTTCTAAAACAGTTTTTAAAAATGTCACCCTAGATTTTACATCCATCAAATAACTGGGTAATAAAAATATGAGAGAACAATTTGATTGCTTAAAGGTAACAAAACTAATTGCAAAATTAGCATCAGATTTTCTTTGGATAGCTGTTGGATAAAATGGCTCTGGATAGTGTTTCATCTGTTAACATAGCACAACTGGTTATGGGGTAAAGTACAGGAGAAAACATTTTTTTTTCCTTCATATTAGACATATTTTAAAAGGAATTATTTAAAGATAGTTTTAACTTTGTGACAGTTCTCATTTGCATTGCTGTATACCTAGCCTATACTATTTGTAGAATAGTGGGCATAAACATGTACGTATGTCTAAGCATTGAATTTTTTTATGTTACATCTGGGATTTTCTGGCTTGATTGGGATATGAATTCATAAATGTGATAGTTTTGTGGGGGAACTGAGAGAACTTGGCATAAACAGGTTACTTACTGATCCTCTCTGGAAATTTAAATGTGAGAATTCATTCTTACCACTCAATAAAGTAAAGGCATTATATCAACTTCTTCCTTTCCAGGTAGTTCTGTATTTTTTTCTAAGAGTAATTGATATATGCAGTGCTATGCACACGCAATTTTGGTCAAATAATTAGTTTTATGTGGCAGGAAACCAAATGATCTATTCACTGTAGCTCAGTAACGTACCATCCTTCAAATATGAAGATGATCCTATTAACCACCTATAGTGGGACACAAAATTTGAGTAGTTTTTCTAGGTATTTATAGGTTGCCACTGAGAATGAGTTTCTGACGTTAACTGGGTCTCTCTGCAGCTACTGTTTTTCATTTCTCGGTTAGCCAGTTAGCTGTTATGTGTACCTTTGGCTATGAATCAAAACCAAACCTAACAAAACCACAAAAACCCCACCTACCCTCTGACCATGCCCATCTATGTTCTAAGTAATTGATATAAGCAACATTGTAAGTCAATAGTAGCATCATTAAAAATAAAATCATGGCCGGGTGTGGTGGCTCAGGTCTGTAATCTCAGCACTTTGGGAGGCCGAGGCCAGTGGATGACCTGAGGTCAGGAGTTTGACACCAGCCTGGCCAACATGGGGAAACCCCGTCTCTACTGAAAATACAAAATTAGCCGGGCGTGGTGGCGCACACCTGTAGTTCCAGCTACTCAGGAGGCTAAGGCAGGAGAATTGCTTGAACCTGGGAGGCGGAAGAGGTGCAGTAAGCTGAAATTGCACCATTGCTCTCCAGCCTGGGCAATAAGAGTGAGACTCTGTCTAAAAATAAATAAATAAATAAAATCACATGTTTTATATAAAGTATATAAAAATATAGATGTGTATAATAATAAAATATTATTAAATATTACTATAACGTATTTTCTGTATGTGTGGTTTTGATTAGACCATGAACTCCTTTCTATGTCATGAGGGATTTGAATTACCTACAATGAAGGAGATGTCAAACGTAGAAGTGGTAGACAGTGTTTCAATGACTTTTTTCACCAATTATTTTACTTTATTGTTTCTTAGATAATGAGCCTCAGTCCCCAAGATCTGCGAAGACGTTTGTGGGTGATTTTTCCAGGAGAAGAAGGTTTAGATTATGGAGGTGTAGCAAGGTAGTGATAATATGAATACTCAGAACTTAGTTCCTTTCCTCCAAAGGTACCATTGCACTTCACTTGCAAGTATTATTTTCTCAATCTTATATTTTAGGAAAATGAAGTATGTCAAATTATTATACCTTTATTATACTGTAGCTACAGAATTTCCAAAAACATTTAATTCAGCACTTTCTGTGTCATGTACAGCTGATTGATTTCACCCACATCACTCATTTAATCTTCAGGGTAACCTTGTGATAGAGAATTTTATAGGATAATGAAGAGGCTTAGAGACTCATCTAAGGCACATCATAAATTGTAGAGCCTGGATGCAAGCTTTGTACCATCTAACCAGTAACCAGTGTTCAGTCTACCACCTCTCATATCTGTTCCACAGAAAACACAAGGCCTTTTAATGATCAGGTCATTTTCCTGACCACAGATTACTGATACAGGTAATAGTTACTCACTTTCCAACTGAGATTAGTATATTTGTCATGAAAATATAAAAAATTGTACAAAATAGGAGTTGAAAGTCTTAATTCTGCTTTCTTCATATTGGCGCTTGAAATCAAACCCTAGAAGATAGTCTCTAATGAGAATTGCTTTGCTTATTCCATAATAATATATCACCCCAGGTTAAAAATTTGCATAGAGGTGGCATTGTGCAAAGACAAGGACTTTGGGGTCAAGCCCGGGTTTGAATCTTTTTCTACTCCCAATGTTGGGAGTGTGAGGTTGAGCAAATATTTTCATCTGTAAAATAAGAATAGTAATATCTACATTTCTAGGATTATTGTGAAGAGTAGAAATATTGTTTATTAATAACGACCTAGTTCAGAGCCTGTGTCTTTGTGTGCACACTAACTGGTGGCTACATTTTAGTAGTTCTTATTTATATTATGTTTCTGAGTTTAAATAAAATTATTTCAAAATATATGATATAATCATAGATAAATAACAAATATGAGTAGAAATATGTAATTTTGTATAAATTAAAGGCAATCGAAGAGGAGAGCAATCATTTATTCCTAATAAGAAAATCAACTAGCAATATTAAAGTGTGTCACGAGATACACTTATCAGAAGAGGCCATGAACTAACAGGAAAAGAGATCCAGATTACAGGCTTATGCCACATGTATTACCCCAGATCACCCATGTTACATAGTTTTAGTAACCATAATCTTATGTTAATATTGGTTCATATTTTCACAATATTTGACTTAGAGTCTCAGCATTTTTCTAATATGTGAGTGGCTGGAATTATGTGCTTTACTGCCTCTGTGAAATTTTCATATTGATTTAACGTGTAGGGAGTAGTGGCACTTGACGGGGATTATTATGGGACTTAGTAATAGATGGAATATTAGATTGATTTCAGCCACTCACATGGGTGAATGGTGAATTTTAAATTTGCCTATGAATAGTATTTCATTGATTCTAAGACCAGTATTTTCATGTTATAATATCTCTGAAATTAAGATATATCGCAGGTAAAATTGGGAAAATGTTGTCTTAGATTCTTTGAAATGTAATAATGTATATATTACCATCTACCAGAGATGGTGTATACTACCAACTCTGTGAAATAGATGTGAGTTTGAACAGAAGCAATAAAAATCAACATGAGATTAGAAAACTATCACTAGCTGAGGGGTATAGATCCCTGAGAACTTTATAACACTGTTCTTTGATTTGTTGACATGGTAACCTACAAGATTTTTCATAGTAAATTTTCTTTTGATTTCAGAGAATGGTTCTTTCTTTTGTCACATGAAGTGTTGAACCCAATGTATTGCCTGTTTGAATATGCAGGGAAGGATAACTACTGCTTGCAGATAAACCCCGCTTCTTACATCAATCCAGATCACCTGAAATATTTTCGTTTTATTGGCAGATTTATTGCCATGGTAAGTGCAGGTCAAGAATTATGTTTACTTTGCTTACTCAGCAATACTAAATTTTCTCTTAGGTGCCATAACAGATCATACGAGAGAAAGGGAAGTGATTTTGTTTTGTTTTTTATTTTTGAGACAGAGTCTTGCTGTGTCACCCAGGCTGGAGTGCAGTGACACAATCTTGGCTCACTGCAACCTCTGCCTCCTGGGCTCAATCAGTCCTCCTGCCTCAGCCTCCCAAGTAGCTGGGATTACAGGTGTGCACCACCATACCCAGCTAATTTTTGTGTTTTTAGTAGAGATGGGGTTTTGCCATGTTGACCAGGCTGGTCTTGAATTCCTGACCTCAGGTAATCCACCCACCTCAGCCTCCCAAAGTGCTGGGATTACAGGTGTAAGCCACCGTGCCCAGCCAGGGAAGTGTTTTTTTGAGACAAAGTTTCACTTTTGTTGCCCGGGCTGGAGTGCAGTGGCGTGATCTCGGCTCACCACAACCTCCACCTCTCAGGTTCAAGCAATTCTCCTGCCTCAGCATCCTGAGTAGCTGGGATTACAAGGATGTGCCACCACGCCTGGCTAATTTTTGTGTTTTTAGTAGAGATGGGGTTTCTCCATGTTGGTCATTATGGTCTTGAACTTCTGACCTCAGGTGATCCACCCACCTCGGCCTCCCAAACTGCTGGGATTACAGGTGTGAGCCACCATGCCCGACCCAGGGAAGTGTTTTTAAATGAAGAATTCATTTAACATATTCAGATAAAATGATTATTGTACAATTATTTTAAGCAGTCTTGTTTCCTTTTTTCATAGGCTCTGTTCCATGGGAAAATCATAGACACAAGTTTTTCTCTACCATTCTATAAGCGTATCTTGAGCAAACCAGTTGGACTCAAGGATTTAGAATCTATTGATCCAGAATTTTACAATTCTCTCATCTGGGTTAAGTAAGTTTCTTTTTCCATGTAATTTATTAAAATATAGTTTATATGCATTCTGTGTAGTATTGATAACCTATGCAAACTGTAAGCACATAATTGGTTTATTGTATTTAAATGATCTATATATCAAACCTGCCTTTTTATTCAATATGATAAATTTTACAAAAATATACCGAAGATCTTTGGCAATAATATGATGACCTTAGAATAGAATCTTATTTCTTCTTATTTTGATGTTATAACTTAATTATTTAAGAACATGGGCCTTTAGTTAAAGACTTATAAATTATGATTGAATTGGTGGATATAACAGAGAGTGCTAATTTCATTTGTGCAGAGAAAACAATATTGAGGAATGTGGTTTGGAAATGTACTTCTCCGTTGACAAAGAAATTCTAGGTGAAATTAAGAGTCATGATCTGAAACCTAATGGTGGCAATATTCTTGTAACAGAAGAAAATAAAGAGGAATACATCAGGTGAGAGTGCTCCTTTTCACATTTCACTTTTTGTTTGACTACAGCGTATTGATAATTGCTTACTAATACTAATGGAGAGTTATCTCCAAAAATAATATTTGTCTTTGTACTAATCAATATCCTATGTAGGCAGTCATTTTTCATTTCTAAAAAGTTTTTTTTTCAAAAAGTGTTTTTGAAAGAGTTTAAGGATAAAAGTCATGCAGGATTACTCTTTTAAATATCAATTCTGTAACTATGCTGTATAACATGTCATTAAAAAGAATCTCAAATATATATGCAGATATTTTCACAGGGAATATTGTAAGGTGTATTAATCCACTTTCCCGCTGCTGATAAAGACATACCCAAGACTAGCCAATTTACAAAAGAAAGAGGTTTAATGGACTTACAGTTTCACGAGGCTGGGGAGGCCTCACACTCATGGTGGAAGGCAAGGAGGGGCAAGTCACATCTTACATGGATGGCAGCAGGCAAAGAGAGAGCTTGTACAGGGAAACTCTGTTTTTAAAACCTCATCATTGGCCGGGCGCGGTGGCTCAAGCCTGTAATCCCAGCACTTTGGGAGGCCGAGATGGGCGGATCACGAGGTCAGGAGATCGAGACCAGCCTGGCTAATACGGTGAAACCCCGTCTCTACTAAAAAAAATACCACAAAAAACTAGCCGGACGAGGTGGCGGGCGCCTGAAGTCCCAGCTACTCCGGAGGCTGAGAGGCTGAGGCAGGAGAATGGCGTAGACCCGGGAGGTGGAGCTTGCAGTGAGCTGAGATCCGGCCACTGCACTCCAGCCTGGGCGACAGAGCAAGACTCCGTCTCAAAAAAAAAAAAAAAAAAAAACCTCATCATTGGCTGGGCACGGTAGCTCACGCCTGTAATCCCAGCACTTTGGAAGACCAAGGCAGGCAGATCACGAAGTCAGGAGATTGACACCATCCTGGCCAATATGGTGAAACCCCGTCTCTACTAAAAATACAAAAATTAGCTGGGTGTGGTGGCATGTGCCAGTAATCCCAGCTACTAGGGAGGCAGAGGCAGGAGAATGGCTTGAACCCAGGAGGCGGAGTTTGCAGTGAGCCAAGATAGCACCACTGCACTCCAGCCTGGTGACAGAGCGAGACTCCGTCTAAAAAAAAAAAAAGACCATATCATATCTTGTGAGACATATTCACTGTCATGCAAACAGCATGGGAAAGACCCACCCCCATGATTCAGTTATCTCCCACTGATTCTTTCTCACAACACGTGGGAATTATGGGAGCTACGAGATGAGATTTGGGTGAGGACACAGAGCCAAACCATATCATTCTGCCCCTGGCGCCTCCCAGATCTCATGTGTTCACATTTCAAAACTAATCATGCCTTCTCAACAGTCCCCCAAAGTCTTAACTCATTTCAGCATTAACTCAAAAGTCCACAGTCCAAAGTCTCATCTGGGACAAGGAAGTCCCTTCCACCTATGAGCCTGTAAAATTAAAAGCAACTTTGTTACTTCTTACATATACTGGGGGATAACAGGCATTGGGTAAATACAGCCATTCCAAATGGGAGAAATTGGCCAAAACAAAGGAGCTGCATGTAATATCCTATGTACAGGCCTCATGCAGATTTGAAATCCAGCAGGGCAGTCAAATCTTCAAGCTCCAAAATGATCTCTTTTGACTCCATGTCTTACATGCACGTCACCCTGATGTAAGAGGTAGCCTCCCATGGCATTGGCAACATTGCCCTTGTGGCTTTGCAGGGTATAGCCTCCCACCAGCTGCTTTCATGGGCTGGCGTTGAGTGTCTGTGGTTTTTCCAGTCTCATGATGCAAGCTGTTGGTGGATATACCATTCTGGGGTCTGGAGGACGGTTGCCCCCTTCTCACAGCTCCACTTGGCAGTGCCCCAGTAGGGACTCTGTATGGGCCTCCAACTTCACATTTCCCCTTCGCACTGTCCTAGCAGAGGTTCTCTGTGAGTGCTCTGCCCCTGCAGCAGAATTTTGCTTGGCCATCTAGGCGTTTCCATATGCCTTCTGAAATCTAGATGGAGGTTCCCAAACCTCAATTTTTGCCTTCTGTGCACCCCCAGGCTCAACACCATGTGGAAGCTGCCAAGTCTTGGGGCTTCCATCCTCTGAAGCAACAGCCTGGGCTGTACCTTGGTCCCTTTTAGTCACACTGGAGCGGCTTGGAAACGGCACCAAGTCCCCAGAGGGCACACAGCATGGGGACCCTGGGCCCGGCCCACAAAACCATTTTTTCCTCCTAGGCCTACAGGCTTGTGATAGGAGGAGCTGCCATGACAACCTCTGACGTGCCCTGTAGACATTTTCCCCAGTGTTTTGGGGATTAACATTCGGGTCCTCATTACTTACGCAAATTTCTGCAGCCAGCTTGAATTTCTCCTCAGAAAATGAGATTTTCTTTTCTATTGCGTTGTCAGGCTGCAAATTTTCCAAACTTTTATGCCCTGCTTCCCTTACAAAACTGAATGCCTTTAACAGCACCAAGTCTCCTATTGAATGCTTTGCTGCGTAGAACTTTATTCCACCAGATACCCTAAATCATCTCTCTCAAGTACAAAGTTCCACCAGCCTCTAGCACAGGGGCAAAATGCTGCCAGTCTCTTTGCTAAAACATACCGAGAGTCACCTTTGCTCTGTTTCCCAAAAAGTTTCTCATTTTCATCTGAGAACACCTCAGCCTGAACTTTTTTGTCCATATTGCCGTCAGCATTTTGGTCAAAGCTATTCAACAAGTCTGTAGGAAGTTCCAAACTTTCCCACGTTTTCCTGTCTTCTTCTGAGCCATCCAAACTGTTCCACCTCTGCCTGCTACCCTCCTGAGTAGCTGGGACTGTACTAAAGTTGCATCCACGTTTTCAGGTATCTTCAGCAGCACCCTGCTCCTGGTAACAATTTACTGTTATCACGCTGCTGATAAGATGTACCCGAGAGTGGACCATTTACAAAAGAAAGAGTTTTAATGGACTTACAGTTTCACATGGCTGGGGAGGCCTCATAATCGGTGGAAGGCAAGAAGGAGCAAGTCATATCTTACATGAATGGCAGCAGGCAAAGAGAGCTTGTCCTGGGAAACTCTCGTTTTAAAACCATTAGATCTTGTGAGACTTATTCACTATAATGAGAACAACATGGGAAAGACCTGTCCCCATGATTCAGTTATCTCCCACTGGTTCTCTCCCATAACACATGGGAATTATGGGAGCTATAAGATGAGATTTGGGTGGGGACACAGAGCCAAACCATATCATAAGGTTGGGTAAAATTATAATTAAAATGAAGTTTTATAGTATATTCTTTCTAATTATTTCCATTGGTTCATATTTCTAGTCTCAAGAGCTAATAGTTCATTCGTACCTTCTCAATAGCAATTCTTTCCAGTCAGGGTTAAATTTTGCTTATCTACTTCTTAAGTTCCAGGTTCTGCATTTCTTGCCTGGGTTTTCCCTCCATGATTGAAAGTACACTGTTTAACACAGTGAACAGTCATTATTTGTTGGAAAACAATCTATCCTTTTAAAAGTTTATTTTGAAATATCCTTTTAAAATGTAGTCAGTTTGTTTTTGTCAGTTCTCCAGTTTTTTTGTTACGATATGTCTAGATTTTTTTATGACATATATAGCATTCCAGAGAGGTAATGATTCAAGATTCCAAGTAACCAAGGATGTACTATGTTCCTCAATAGTTTTGTTGCTGGTAATATAACATTTTAAGATAATGGGCAGCTAAAAAGATTTTTAGTATCTGCTTCAATAATGGCTTGCTTAAAATTTCAGAGTTTGGGGGGTTTTTAGTATTTTTTAAGAAGTATAATTTCCTTAGAGTAAAATGCACTGATCTTAAGTGTACATGTTGAATTTTGACAAATATATATATCAGCCCAAATGTGAGCATTTTATGGATAGAAGTTGTGCTAGATCACTCATTTAATTACCAATTCTGTAAACACTATTCCATATAGCACCATGTCCATGTAAACATGACCCAAATTGTGGAACTTTTTTTTTCTATTCTGGACCCCATAAGGGGCCAATATACACCTCCCTTCTCCCAGCCCCAGAGGTAGGTAACCATTTTTGTTTAGTTCTATTTCTATAACTGTTTCTGATCTTAAATTTCCTAAAATGGAATCATAGAGTATGTAGTCTTATATCTAGCTTTTAGTGTCTGATTTTTTCTTTTATTTGGTGTTTGTGAGATTCAGCCATATTGTTTATATCAGTATTTTATTCCTTTTTATTGCTGAGAAATATTCCATGCCGTTTATATCTCAAAATTTGTTTATCCATTCTGTTAGTGATAAATGTTTTGGTTGTTTCCCAGTCTGGGGCTATTATGAGTAAAGCTGCTATAAACATTCTTGTGGTGTCTTTTTGTGGACATATTTTTCTTTAGTAAATACCTAGGAGTGAAATCGCTGGGAAGGTGTTTGACTTTATTAGAAACTGCCGAAGTTTCCCAAAGTGTTTTTGCCATTTTACAGTCCTGCTAGCAATATTTGAAAGTTGCCTCACGTTCTTGCCAATTCATCATTGTCAGTAGTATTTCGTGGTTTTAATTTCCATTTTTTCCTTGACTAATAGCGTTGAGTATGTTTTTCTGTGCATATTCATCATTTGTAGCTCTTCTTTTCTGATGTGTATATCCAAATCTTTTATGCATTCTAAAATTGGGTTGTCTTTTTATTTGTGATTGTAGGAGTTCTTAAATATTTCAGATCATTGATTTTAGAAACTTTTCTGTTTCCCTTCTTCCCTTTTTCCCTCCCTCTCCCTCCATCATCTTACCTTTTCCTCCTGAGTAGCTGGAACTGTAGGCACAAGCCACTGTGCCCAGCAAATTTTTTGGTTGTTTTTATTTTTGTAGAGATGTGGTCTTGCTATTTTGCACAGGCTGGTCTCATACTCCTTGCCTCAAGCTGTCCTCCCACATTCTGTTTTCTAATATAAGGACTTAAAGCTGCAGATTTCCAACTAAGTATTTCTTTATCTATCCTCACAATTTATTTATTATTATTATTTTTTGAGATGGAGTCTCACTCTGTTGCCCAGGTTGGAGTGTAGTGGTAGAGTCATGGCTCACTGTAGCCTCAACCTCCTGAGCTCCAGATATCCTCCTACCTCAGCCTCCCAAGTAGCTGGAACCACAGGCATGTGCTGCCATGCCTGGCTAACTTATTTATTTATTGTAGGAGATGGGTCTCAATATGTTGCCCAGGCTGGTCTCAAACTCCTGGATTCAAACGATCCTCCCACCTTTGTCTCCCAAAGTGCTGGAATTATAGGCATGAGCCACCTCATCCAGCCCACAAATTTTTTGTTGTTGTTGTTGTTGTTGTTTTCCCTGCGACGGAGTCTTGCTTTGTCATCCAGGCTGGAGTGCAGAGGTACAATCTTGGCTTACTTTAACTTCCATCTCCTGGGTTCAAGCGATTCTCCTGCCTCAGCCTCCCGAGCAGCTGTGATTACAGGCACCTGCCACCGCACCTGGCTAATTTTTGTATTTTTAATAGAGACAAGGTTTCGCCATGTTGGCCAGGCTGGTCTTGAGCTCTTGACCTCAGGTGATCCGCCTGCCTCAGCCTCCCAGAGTGCCTGGATTATAGGCGTGAGCCGCTGTGCCCAGCCACAAATTTTGGAATGTTGTGTTTTTTCACTACTTTATTTTATTTGTATTTATTTATTTATTATGTTTTATTTTTATTATTTTTTTGAGACAGGGTCTCATTTTGTCACCCAGGCTGGAGTGCAGTGGCGAAATCTTGGCTCACTGCAGTCTCCACTTCTGGAAGTTCAAGCAATCCTCTTGCCTCAACCCTCAAGCAGTTGGGACTGCAGGCATGTGCCACCACACCCACATGGCGAGATGGGGTTTCACCATGTTGCCCAGGGTGGTCTTGAACTCCTGCGCCCAAGGGATCCTGCCTCAGCCTCCCACAGTGCTGGGATTACAGATGTAATCACACTCCCAGCCACTCTCATTGTATTTAGAAGTATTTCTTAAGTCTTATTATTTTTATCCTGATAATCTCTATAATTGGAGTGTTCAGTACATTTATGTTAATTTTATTACTGATTTGGTTGGACTTTTGTCTAACCATTGCTATTTGTTTTGCTATTTGTCTCACCTTGCTATTTGTTTCTTGTTTTTCCCAACTTTGTTCTTTCTTGCTTTCTTTGAATTAATAAAGCAATTTTTACTTTCTTTTTTAGCTCTTCTGTTGGGTTTTTAGCTATACCTCTTTGTTTAATTTTAGTGGTGACTGTAATGATTATGATAATATGCATCTGTAACATCCCTGTTGACCCAAACACTACTTCTTGTACAATATAAGAAGCTCATAGGCCAAGTGCCGTGGCTCACTCCTGTAATTTCAGAACTTTGGGAGGCTAAGGCTGGTGGATTGCCTGAGGTCAGGAGTTCAAGACCAGCCTGGCCAACATGGTGGAACCCCGTCTCCACTAAAAAGAAAAAAAATACAAAAAACTAGCCGGGCGAGGTGGCGGGCACCTGTAGTCCCAGCTACTCGGGAGGCTGAGGCAGGAGAATGACGTAAACCCGGGAGGCGGAGCTAGCAGTGAGCTGAGATCCAGCCACGGCACTCCAGCCTGGGCGACAGAGCAAGACTCTGTCTCAAAAAAAAAAAAAAAAAAAAAATATATATATATATATATATATGTGTGTGTGTATATATATATATATATGTGTGTGTGTGTATATATATATATATATGTGTATATATATATACAAAAATTAGCCTGGCGTGGTAGTAGGCACCTGTAATCCCAGCTACTTGGGAGGCTGAGGCAGGATAATCACTTGAACCCAGGAGGCGGAGGTTGCAGTAAGCTGAGATTGTGCCATTGCACTCCAGCCTAGGGGACAGGAGTGAGACTTCCTCTCAAGAAAAAGAAAAGAAGCTCATAATAATATAATTCCATTTACCTCACTCCAGCTGTTGGTGCTGTTGTTGTCATATATTATTTCTACATGTTACAAATATAATACTTTGTTACTGTTACTCTTGCTTTAATTTTTAACCATTTTCAAAAATATTCTTATATTTACTCACATTACTATTTCTGGTTCTCCTTATTTCTTTCCTCAGATTCTTTTTTTTTTTTTTTTTTTTTTTTAAATATAAGATCATTTCCCTTTGGCTTTAAAAAAAAAAAAACCTTTATTTACCATTTCACTTCATGTGCATCTCCTGGCATTACATTTTTCCAGCTTTTATATGAAAACATCTTTATTTCACTTTCATTTTTTGAAGGATATTGTCACTAGATTTAGAATTCTAGGTTTATAAATAATGATGCGGTCATGTTTTTATGCTTTATGTTTTAAAAAATAATCCTCATGTTGTAGAGACATATACTGAAGTATCTGTTCAAAATGAAATTGTTTGGGCCGGACATGGTGGTTCACGCCTGTAATCCCAGCACTTTGGGAGAAGGCAGGCGGATCACTTGAGGTCAGGAGTTCAAGACCAGCCTGGCCAACATGATGAAACCCCCATCTCTACTAAAAATACAAAAATTAGTTGGGCGTGGTGGTGCACGCCTTTGTAATGCCAGCTACTCGGGAGGCTGATACCTGGAACCGATTGAACCTGGAAGGTGGAGGCTGCAGTGAGCCCAGATTGTATCGTTGCACTCCGGCCTGGGCGACAGAATGCGACCCTGTCTCAAAAAAACAAAAACAAAATAAAAGAAAATAAATTATATGGCTTGGCCATGGTGGCACATGCTTGTAATCCTAGCAGTTTGGGTGGCCGAGGCAGGAAGATCACATGAGGCCAGGTGTTTAAAACCAACCTTGGCAACACAGAGAGACCCTGTACACACGAAACCAAAAGTTAGCCAGGCGTGGTGTTGCACACCTATATTCCCAGCTACTCAGGAGGCCGAGGTAAGAGGATTGCTTGAGCCCAGGAGGTCAAGACTGCAGTGAGCCAAGATTGTGCCACTGTGCTTCATCTCAGGTGACAGAGTGAGACCTCATCTCAAATAAATAAAAGAAATGAAATTATGTGATATCTAGGGTATGAATAGGGACATAAATGAAATAGATGGGCATTGTGATGAATCTTGGACATGTGTACAGGGGGTTCATTATATTCTACTTTTGAATATATTTTAAGTTTTTTGTAATTTTTTAAAATTTATTTTTATACTCAGAATTTAAAGATAAGATCTAAACTTCCTGATAGGTTTTTTTATATTTGTTTGCCAGAATGGTAGCTGAATGGAGGTTGTCTCGAGGTGTTGAAGAACAGACACAAGCTTTCTTTGAGGGCTTTAATGAAATTCTTCCCCAGCAATATGTGCAATACTTTGATGCAAAGGAATTAGAGGTAATGAGTTTTCCTTCATTCCCCTGTACCATGCTGGTAAATAATGCCTTCGGTTGTCTGCTTTTAACTCACTTTCCCATCTTTCCTGTTACTGTAATACTTTTTATACTGGCACAAAATGTTTTGAAACATCCCCAGTGGTTAAAGAAAATAATAATTTATCCAAAGATAAAACAATAGTATTACCCCCGCAAAAGTACAAATATTAGAGCTTCTCTACAATTGAGTGACTTACTTCCCTGAATATGTATATATATGACACCGTGCTTGGGACCTTGCCTTCATGAGCAATGTAGATATAATTCTTGATGTATAGTTGATAAGTCAAAGCCTACTGATTGTTTTTCTAAAACTTTGCTTAATCTTCGTCTTTCCTTGTTTATGTCCAGCTGTTTTTGTACAGTGACCTAAGGAAACAATTTGTCTTTTTCATCCCTAAAGGTCCTTTTATGTGGAATGCAAGAGATTGATTTGAATGACTGGCAAAGACATGCCATCTACCGTCATTATACGAGGACCAGCAAACAAATCATGTGGTTTTGGCAGGTTTGTTTTTAAATTTATTTCTATTAGTTGACACAGCATAATTTTTTAGAATTTGCTTACCACATATGGAAATGAGTCACAGCTCAAAATGTACCAGTGTATATAGACCCCTTAGTCCATCATATGCATTATAATAAATGAATACAGATTATAACAGCATCCTTTTAAGACTATTGCCAAGTAAGCCACACATACCTTGCATCTTTGTCCAGAGTAGAGTGTAAGACAATTCCAGATGATAAAATTTACCTACATTTTATTTAAATGGTTTTGGGGTTTTATAGGACTGCCTGTAATATGTTTTTGTTTTTTGTTTTTTTTTTATATCATTTATACTTCATTAATTATATAATGTTCAGAAGGCAAAATTTAAGAGCCATGATTTAGGATCATAATGGTACCTCTCTAAAAATGTCTGCCGTAAGCATAGTAAATGATGTTCAACATCATTAATCATTAGAGAAATGCAAATCAAAACCACAATGAGGCTGGGTGCTGTGGCTCACACCTGTAATCCCAGCACTTTGGGAGGCCGAGGCGGGTGGATCACGAGGTCAGGAGATCAAGACCATCCTGGCTAACATGACGAAATTAGCCAGGCGTGGTGGCGCATGCCTGTAATCTCAGCTACTTGAGAGGCCGAGGCAGGAGAATCACTTGAACCCAGGAGGCAGAGGTTGCAGTGAGCCAAGATCACACTACTGCTCTCCAGCCTAGGCGACAGAGCGAGACTCCATCTCAAAAACAAAAATGAAAACAACACAATGAGATATCACATCATACTTAGTATTATTTTTAAAGTGGAGAAAACAACCATTGCCAAGGGTGCATTGCTGGTGATAGTGTGAAATACCACACCACTGTGGAAATAGTTTGGTGGTTCCTCAAAAAGTTAAACATAGAATTAACATAAGATCCAGGAATTCCAACCCTTGGTATACAGCCCAAAAAATTGAAAGCAGAGACTCAAACAGATACTTGTATACCAGTATTCATCATCCATTTACCCACACAAAATGTGGTATATACATATACAGATGCTCCTGGACTTGTAAAGGAGTTTTATCCTGTACATCCATCATAAGTCAAAAATATCTTGAGTTGAATATTATTCAGTGCTAAAAAGTAATGAGATTTTTGGTATGTGCTACAGATAAGCGAAGTAAGCCAGACACAAATGGACAAATATTGTATAATTCCACTTACATGAGGTTACTAGAATGGGCAAATTCATAGAGGCAGAAAGTAGAATATGGGTTACCAGAAGCTGCAGGGAGCAAAAATGGGAAGTTGTGTTTAATGTATACATAGTTTTTACTTGGGATGATGAAAAAGTTGGAAATAGTGTTGATGGTTGCACAACAGCGTGAATGTACTTAATGTTATTAAATTACACTCAAAATGGTTAAAATCAAGAATTTATGTCATGTATATTTTACAACAATTTAAAAAATTAAATTTAAAAATCTGCTATACATGTAAAGAAATTCATATGAGAAACTTAAAGATAAACTGAGCTTCTATAACAAGTAAGGTTACAATTGTAGGATAATTGATAATAGTACAATAGGATAAAAATTATTCCTTACAAAAAAGTTTTTGGTTGAGGCAAAACAGTTATACTACAGGCTAGAAACATTATCTAGAAACCTTTTGTTTTGAGTCAGAATTGTATGAAATAAAAACCACATGATTCTAGCTATGTGTAGCTGTACCAAAACCTAAAGAACATTGAGAAGAGGAGGTTATTGGGATATATCCTGCTTCAGAATTCTGTGAATTTCATTAAAGTTGTTTATTAAACCAAAAAGTCTATACTGACTCAAGGTCTCTATCCTGTGTAGCCACATGAATATCCTATAGGACAGGCAGATCTGGGGCTGGGGGGTGGTGGTGGGATGGGGAGTCACAGGAAGGGCTGCCCTAGAAGAGCTAATCTTAAAACTTCATGAGTAAGGAGCTCTTGGTCTCAGTCCATCTTACTTTTTATATATCCCTTTAAGTATATTGTCCTAAGAGTTATATAAGGAAAGGTTGCTGGGGCTTTGATAAACATGGAAATGGCCCTCCATCCATAGTGTTGGGTTAAGTAATTATCTAATGCAGTGGACACCAGGGGTTCCTTTAAGATTTGAAATGAGCTAGATACAGTGGCTTGCTCCTATAGTCCCAACTACTCTGGAGACTGAGGCGGGAGGATTGCCTGCTGCCCAGGAGTTAGAGGCTGCAATGAGCTATGATTGTACCACTGCACCCCAGCCTGGGCCACAGAACAAGACCTCACCTCTAAAAAGAGTAAAAGATCTGAAATCATTATTTTTCTTTCTTATTTAGTGTGCCGAATGTAACATATGACATATATATCTCTTTAAATATACTTTTAACAGTTTGTTAAAGAAATTGATAATGAGAAGAGAATGAGACTTCTACAGTTTGTTACTGGAACCTGCCGATTGCCACTAGGAGGATTTGCTGATCTCATGGGTATGTATACAGGATCACTTTTCCTATACAGAAAACTGTTTATCATGCTGCTTTACGTGAATGTGTATACAGCGTATCAGAAGCAACAAAGACAAGGATAACCATTTTCTTAACTATTCCCAGTTAGCGTGGATTTGTATAACCTTTAAAATAAGTTTTAGTCCTTACCTCTGTAGAAATTTTTAACCCTCAAGCTAGAACCCACAACTAACTCATTAGGACAGCAGTCTTCTGTATGTAAATCTGTTCATTTAGTGATTTGCCAAACATGTGTCTCTTATGAGTCAATCATTATTGGTTGTATTATTTAACAATGTGAGAAGATCATTGTATAATACAATAGTGGATTGTAGTTTCTGTATTGTGTTTAAAACCACTCTTCCCTGGGAGACAGGGAGTTCTTTGAGATATGGATTCATATCTTCTTCATCTTTTTATTTTTTGCCCCTGGCAAAGTGCCTGTTACACAGCAATCTGCTGCTTAAAATGAATATTGAGTGACTGTGGCAATATTTACTTTGTTACCAAACAATAAATTATTAAAGTAAATTCAAGTATTTCCTTAATACCAACATTATCCCAAGTACCATAGGAAGATACACAGAGAAGTTATGATCCCTAAGCCTGCTTCAGGTGAAGCAGAGTTAAAATTAGGAGAACTAAGCAGGTAATTTTGAATACAGAGCATGGAACCAGTTTAGAAAAGACTTTAAACCAGATCAAAAGAATTTGGTTATTACTGTGAGGGTATTGGAAGCTGTGGAACTTTTTGAAGAGAGGAAAACTTGCTCAAGCTGCGTTTAGGAAGATTTGATAGGAAGATACAGGGTGGATTAAAAGATGGTGAGGGCCTAGAGATAAGAAGAAATCGTTGCAGCAATGATGAGAACCTGATCTCAGGAGACGGAAATAGAAAAGAGAGGGTAGATGCTAGAGAAAGTTCCAAAGGTAGAAACAGGTAGAGAGCTTAATAGAAAATGAAGTGTAAGAGAGGGGTATCAGCAATAATTGTCATGTTATAGAACATGGAACAATGGAGAAGTCAGGAAGTATAAAGAGTATGCATGGTTGTAGATGTTGGGGGAGGATGCTGAGCAGCTTAGAACCTGCTGAATTTAAGGTAACTGCCAGAAAACCAAGTAGAAAACCCCAGGGGAGCAGCTGTAGAGGTAACAATATATGAGTTAGAGTTAAGAGAAAACAGAAGTTGAATCATCAGAGCAGTGACATTTGATGCTGTGAGAATGTGTGGTCTCGGGCAGAAATAGAATACAGAGAGGAGTAGAAGGCTAATGCCTAGAACCATCTGCATGTAGGAATAAGACAGAAGGAAATAGCCTAGGCCAGGCACAGCCTTACGCCTGTAATCCCAGCACTTTTGGAGGCCGAGGTGGGTGGATCGCTTGAGCTCAGGAGTTTGAGAACAGCTGGGGCGACGTGGTGAAACCCCGTCTCTACTAAAAATACAAAAATTAGCTGGGTGTGGTGACGCACACTTGTAGCCCCAGCTACTCAGGAGGCTGCGGCAGGAGAATCGCTTGAACCCAGGAGGAGGCAGAGGTTGCAGTGAACTGAGATCACACCACTGCACTCCAGCCTGGCGACAGAGTGAGACTTCATCTTAAAGGAAAAGAAAAGATGGAATTAGCCTGGAAACCAATTTAAAGGAGAGACCAGAGAATGAGAAGAAGAAAGAAATAGCATACTGTCTGAGAAGCAAGTAGAAGTGATGCAGAGCACTTCTTCAGTGCTGCAGAGAGGTCTCAGAAGGGTGACTTCTAGGAAAGTTTTTGTTAGAAGACAGAAACAGTGAGATTGTAGTTTGGAGAATTTTAGAGGCTATCTAGTTTATTTTGTTTGTTTTAGTTTCAAATCTTTATTCTTTTTTACTTCTTAAATTGTTCTTAATTGACAAAATTGTACATATTTAGGGGTACAGTTTTTATTTTGATACATGTATACAATATGTAATGATCAAGTCGGGGTAATTAGCATATCCATCACCTCAAACATTTATCAATTCTTTCTGTTGCGAACATTCAAAACTCACTTTTCTAACTCTTTATAAACATACAGGCCAGGCACAGTGGTTCACACCTGTAATCCCAGCACTTCGGGAGGAAGTGAGACAGGAGGAACACACAAGCCCAGGGGTTTGAGACAAGACTGGGCAATATAGGGAGACCCTGTCTCTACAGAAAATTTAGAAATTAGCTGAGCATGGTGGTACACGCCTATAGTCCCTTCTATTCAGGAGGTTGAGGTGGGAAGATCACTTGAGCTTTGGAGGTGAAGGTTGCAGTGAGCCAAGGTCATGCCACTGTACTCCAGTCTCAGTGACAGAGTGAGACCCTATCTTAAAAATACATACCCTGGACGTGGTGGCTCACGCATGTAATCCCAGCACTTTGGGAGGCCAAGGCAGGCGGATCACCTGAGGTCAGGAGTTCAAGACCAGCCTGGCCATCGTGGTAAAACCCCTTCTCTACGAAAAATGCAAAAAAAAAAAAAATATATATATATATATATATATATATATTTATTTATTTATATATTTATATATTTATATATATACACACACACATATATATACATACACACACGCAATAAATTGTTGTTGATTATAGTCATTGTATAGTGCTGTAGAACACCAGAACTTATTCTTCCTGCCGATCTGTACTTGTGTATCTATTAACCAACCTTTGACTCTCCCCTCCTTCCTGCCACCCTTCCGTAGTAATCACCGTTCTACTTTGTACTTCTATGAGATTGGCTTTTTTAGCTTTCACATGAGTGAGAGCATATACTCTTTATCTTTTTGTGCTTGGCTTATGTCACTTACAATGTCCTCCATGTTCATCTTTGTTGTCATAAATGACAGAATTTTGCTCTTTTAAATGGCTGAATAGTATTCCAGTTTGTTTATATACCACATTACATTTTCTTTATCCATTTACCTGATGATGGACACGTAAGTTGATTCCCTATCTTGGCTTGTGAATGGTGCTGCAGTAGACATGGGAGTGCAGATGTCTCTTTGACATACTGATTTCCTTTTCTTTAGATAATACCCCATAGTGGGATTGCTGGATCATATGGTTGTTGGGAGTCTGAGATGGGTAGACCTCTTAAGGCCAGGAGTTTGAGACCAGCCTGGCCAACATAGTGAAACCCTGTCTCTACTAAAAATACCCAAAAAAAAAAGAATTTTTTTTTTTTTTTTTTTTTTTTTTTTTTTTTGCTGAGAGTGGTGGTACGCGCCTGCAATCCCAGCTACCTGGGAAGCAGAGGTTGCACTGTAGCCTGGGTGATGGAGCAGTACTCTGTCTCAAAAAGTTAATAATAATAATAAGAAGAAGAATTTACATCCCCTCCAACAATATATAAGAGTTCCTCTTTTTCCACATCCTTGCCAGCATTTGTTATTTTTTAATCTATAACAGTCATTCTAACTGACGAGTGATGACCCTTCATTGTGGTTTTGATTTGCATCTCTCTGGTGATTAGTTACATTTAACATTGTTATTTTGAGAGATCTATTTAGCTCGTATCCCATGTTTTAATGCATTGTTTTTCTTCTTTTTTGCTGTTGAGTTCTTGTATATTCTGGATATTCTTTGTTGGATGAATAGTTTGCGGATACTTTCTCCCATTCTGCAGATTGTCTCTACGCTCTGTTGATTGTTTCCTTTGCTATGCCAAAGCTTTTTAGTTTCATATAACCCCATTTGTCTATTTTTTGTTTTGTTGCCTGTGCTTTTCAGGTCTTTATGAAATCTTTGCTCAGGCTGGGCACGGTGACTCATGCCTGTAATCCCAGCACTTTGGGAGGCCAAGACGGGTGGATCACCTGAGGTCGGGAGTTCAAGACCAGCCTGACCACGGAGAAACCCTGTCTCTACTAAAAATACAAAACTTAGCTGGGCATGGTGGCACATGCCTGTAATCCCAGCTACTCGGGAGGCTGAGGCAGGAGAATCGCTTGAACCTGGGAGGCGGAGGTTGTGGTGAGCTGAGATTGCCCCACTGCACTCTGCTATAAAATACTGAGTAGAGGCCGGGCGTGATGGCTCACGCCTGTAATCTCAACACTTTGGGAGGCCAAGGTGGGTGGATCACTTGAGGTCAGGAGTTCAAGACCAGCCTGACCAGCATGGCAAAACCCCATCTATACTAAAAATAAAAAAATTAGCTGGGTGTGGTAGTGTACATCTGTAATCCCAGCTACTCTAAGGCATGAGAATTGCTTGAACCCAGGAGGCGGAGGTTGCATTGAGCCAATTGTGCCACTGCCATCCAGCCTGGGTGACAGAGTGAGACTCGGTCTCAAAATATATATATAGAGAGTAGAGAGAACATGCAGAGTGAGTTAATTTTATGTGTTGAACACCACAGAATAATTTTAACTTTTAACCGTCTTTTTTATAATGTTTCCTGTATTACTGGATTTTTTACGTAACTACTTGTGAAAATAATTCAGTGTTATTAAATACAAAAGCACTAACAATTTATATTAGGTATATTTAGTATACTCGGTTTAGTCAGGTGGGACATGAGAAAATTCTTTGTGTCTGACAGTGTCACATATTGCAGAACAGTTAGTGTTCCTGCCCCCTTCTAATTAAAATATCTAGTAGCACTACTAATCATTGAGACCAACAATAAATGCTTCCTAGGGAAAAGTAATGATCTTTTAGAAAACCAGTGTTTTTATGATCACTATTCACAGCTATCTCCAGCAGCAGGTAAATGAGGGGCAAGAATTTTATGTTTATACTTGTATCTGTTTTTGTAAGGGTATGCCCTACAGGACCTGTAAGTTCTAGCATTAATAATATGGAATTCACTAGGATGTTTACATTTCACAAAGTTTTGTCAATTCTGTATTTAAATCAAGTTTTATTATAGTTTCCTTATTGTGTTTCAAACTACTAAAAGTAAGCTTTTTCAGTGTTCTTGTGTAAGCTTTTATTAATCATAACAATGTGTTATTCTGGCTAAAGAATGCTAGATGAAACTGCATTTTTCTCCTCTGGGGCTTATATTAACAAACTAGTTGTCAAACTTTTACACTTACCAGACTCACCCAGAGCTTGTTAAAGCACATATTGCTGAGCCTCACCCCGAGTTTCTTTTTGTTTATTGGTTGGTTTTGAGTTTTTTGAGGGTTTTTTTTTTGAGATAGGGTCTCATTCTGTCACCCAGGTGAGAGTGTAGTGGCGCAATCGACTCAACCGCATCCTTGCTGCGCAGATTCAAGCAATTCTCCTGCCTCAGTCTCCTGAGTAGCTGGGATTACAGGCATATGCCACCACATTTGGCTAGTTTTTGTATTTTTAGTAGAGATCAGGATTCACCACATTGGCCAGACTGATCTTGAACTCCTGACCTCAAGTGATCTACCCGCCTTGGCCTCTCAAAGTACTGGGATTACAGGCATGAGCCACTACACCCAACTCAGAGTTTCTGAATTAGTAAGCTGATGTGTGGGGCCTGTGGATTTATGGTTCTAACAAGTTCCCTCATGATGCTGATGCTTATTGGATTGGGGAACATTGGATTGGGGAACACAGTTTGAGATCCACTATACTAACAAAGTTTATGATTTCATTATGTTTTAGGGAGCAATGGACCACAGAAATTCTGCATTGAAAAAGTTGGGAAAGAAAATTGGCTACCCAGAAGTCATACCTGGTAAGTACAATCAAAAAGGATAGAGAAAACAGCTTTTGTCCAGTTATCTGTAGCTATTTAAAGCCAGCTAGAAATTAAAAATGATACTTAGTAGATTTAGAGAGTAGCACCGCCATCATAGCAATCCAGTTTAAGAGCATTTTGTTCACCCCAATGTGATTCCTTACAACTATTTGCAATCAATTCCTTTTTTTACATCTGAATTTTTTTTTTAATGTGGGATTTAGAGTTATTTTCATTTTTCTCTGAAGGCAGCAAAAGAAGTCAAAGTTAGGAGACCTGTGTCTAACATCATGACCACAAATATTCTCATTTGAAATCTAATTACATTTCTAAAAATATAGAAAACTAAATCTAATCCTAATCTCAGAGCAAATATATTAATGTTTTGGAATTCAACCTAATGTCAACAATATTTGAACCTTGCTTTGTGGGATATATTTTAGTGGTCACATATGGTCCTTACTGGATATCTGACCTCTTTACTGTTTTATTGTCTATTCCTTTTTGTTTTTATACATATGTTTTATATATACATGTAGTGTTCAAATAACAATTTTATTGATATATAATTTACATATTATAAAACTCACCTTCTTAAATTATGCAGTTCAGTTCAGTGGTTTGTTTTGTTGTTGTTGTTGTTGTTTGAGACGGGGTCTCACTTTGTAGACCAGGCTGGAGTTCAGTGGATTGATCTCGGCTTACTGCAACCTCAGCCTCCCAAGCAGCTGGGCCACCCGCCACCACGTCCATCTAATTTTTGTATTTTTAGTAGAGACAGGGTTTTACCATGTTGGTCAGGCCAATCTCAAACTCCTGACCTCAGGTGATCCACCCACCTCAGCCTCCCAAAGTGTTGGGATTACAGGCTCCAAAACATTTTTTTTCACGCTCCCAAAAATCCATGTACCCATTAGCAGTCACTCCCCTTTTATCCCCTATGTAGCCCTTGGTAACCTCTAATCTACTTTCTGTCTCTATGAATTTTCCTATTCTGGGCATTTTATATAAAATGAATCATACAATAAATATATAACTTTCCTTTTTTTTTTTTTTTTTGGAGACAGAGTCTCTCTCTGCCACTCAGGCTGGAGTGCAGTGGCGTGATCTCAGCTCACTGCAACCTCTGCCTCCCAGGTGCAAGCAATTCTCCTGCCTCAGCCTCCCAAGTAGCTGGGACTATAGGCATGCACCACCACGCATAGCTTAATTTTTGTATTTTTAGTAGAGACAGGGTTTCACCACGTTTGCCAGGCTGGTCTTGAACTCCTGACCTTGTCATCCACCCGCCTTGACCTCCCAGAGTGCTGGGATTACAGGCATAAAAGCCACTGCCCCCAGCCAAATATACAACCTTTTGTGTGTAGCTTCTTTTACTTAGCATGTTTTCAAGGTTCATCTGTGGTCTAGCATATACAGTATTTCATTCCTTTTTAAAATTGTTGTGTTTAATATACATAACATAGAATTCACCATTTTTAAGTGTGTACAGTTCAGTGGCATTAAGCACATTCATATCATTATGCAGTCATCACCATCACCTATCTACAAAAATTGTTTCTTTTGTTGAGCCATGTCTCACTCTGTCACCCAGGCTGGAGTGCAGTAGCTTAATCTCCACTCATGCAACCTCCACCTCCCAGGGTCAAATTATCCTCCCACCTTAGCCTCCCAAGTAGCTGGGATGACAGGCATGTGCTACCACACCTAGCCAACTTTTAAACTTTTTGTAGAGACAGAGTCTCACTTTGTTGCTCAGGCTGGTCTCAACCTCCTGAGCTCAAGCAATACTCCTGCCTTGGCCTCCCAAAGTGCTGGGATTACAGGCCATCGGACTAGACCTAAAACTTTTTTCAAATCTTGTAAAATTGAAATGGTACCTATCAAAGCAGGGGTCCCCAACTCCTGGTCCCCAGCCTGTTAGGAACTGGCTGCACAGCAGGAGGTAAGCGAAGGGTGAGTGAGCATTAAGCGCTGAGCTCCACCACTTGTCAGATCAGCAGAGGCATTAGATTCTTATAGGAGGAATAACTCTATTGTGAACTGTGCATGTAAGGGATCTAGACTGCGCATTCCTTATGAGAATCAATGACTTGAGGTGGAACAGTTTCATCCTGAAACCACCCTCCTCCCCACTCCCATCCATGGAAAAATTGTCTTCCGCAAAACCATTCCCTGGTGCCAAAAAGGTTGGAGACCACTGCTTTAAACAATGACTCCCCATGACTCCCTTTCCCCAGGTCCTGGCAAACATCATTCTACTACTGTTTCTATGATTTTTGACTGTCTTTAGTACTTTATAAGTGTAGAATCATATCTTATTTGTCCTTTCATGACTGGCTTATTTCACTTAGAATAGTATCTGTAATTTTCATCCATGTTGTAGCATGTGTCAGCATTTCCTCCTTTTTAATGCTGAATAATATTTGATAGTCTGAATATACTACATTTTGTTTATACATTCATCTGTCCATGGACATTTAGATTATTTCCACCTTTTGGCTGTTTATGCTGCTATAAACATATGTATACTGTGGTAGAATATAGATATATCTGTCCATGGCCCTGCTTTCGATTGTTTTGGGTATATACCCAGAGGTGGAATTCCTTGATCATGTAATAATTCTATTTTTAATTTTGGGGGGGAATCTCACCATACTGTTCTCCATAGTGACTACACTGCATTATAGTCTTACCAGTAGTGTAGAGGGGCTCAAATTTCTCCACATCCTCATATCCTTTTCAACTCTTGTTTTCTTCTGTTTTTTTTTGTTGTTGTTGTTGTTTATTTTTTTGTTTGTTTTAAATAATAGCCATCCCAATAGGTGTGAAGTGGTATCTCATTGTGGTTTTTATTTGCATTTACCTAAGGATGTTGAGCATTTTTTTCATGTGCTTATTGGTCATTTGTATGTCTTTGGAGAAATCTCTATCCTTTGCCCATTTTAAAATATTGTTGAGTTTTAAGTTTTTTATATATTTCGGATACCAGTCCTTTATCAGATATATAATTTACAAATATTTTTTCCCATTTTTGGGTTATTTCACTTTCTTAATGGTATCCTTTGAAGCACGGTAGTATAATTTTGTGCTTCTATAGTAGTGTTATACTACACTACTCATTTGATTCTTTGCATATTTCCTTTTCTAAAACTAACAATTCTTGCTTTTAGTTTTAATCGCCTGGACCTTCCACCATACAAGAGCTATGAGCAACTGAAGGAAAAGCTGTTGTTTGCCATAGAAGAAACAGAAGGATTTGGACAAGAGTAACTTCTGAGAACTTGCACCGTGAATGGGCAAGAACTTATTTGCAATGTTTGTCCTTCTCTGCCTGTTGCACATCTTGTAAAATTGGACTATCGCTCTTTAGAGAGTTATCTGAGTGTAAGTAAATTAATGTTCTCATTTAGATTTATCTCCCAGTGATTTCTACTCAACATTTCCAGAAATCAGGTCTGCAAATGACTAGTCAAAACCTTGCTTAATATGAGATTTTAACACAACAACGAAATCTGCCTTGTCTTATTCCACTAGTTTGTTCCTTTAACAACAATTCTGTATATGTGTCAAAAGTCTCACTTGGGAGTAGTTTTTTTTCTCTTAGAGATTCTGCAGATATACAGGGAAGTCCTTTGGTAACTGCAATATACAAGATCTGCCTATTTAACCTCTTGGTAAGAGGCATTTGTTAAAAGTGGAAGCTTAGCCCAGCTTCTGGGGATGTGAGCAAAATTCTGGCTTGTGTTCTCCCTCTCATTTTAGTCTGACTTGACTATTGTTTTTCCTTTCTGGAGCATGAATCCATACATCATTCCTGGAAGTGATACAAGACTCTTGCATCTCTACAAAGTAGTTTTGTCAATTTGAATTCAGGGAAAAGTTCTTCACAGCCTACAAATGACTTCATTTGGAAGTTTGATTGTTTCAGTTACCTGGCAAATATTACACTTTACAATGTTAACACTGTGATTCCTTCATTGTTTTAAGAAGTTAACCTAGGGCCGGGCATGGTGGCTCATACCTGTAATCCTAGCACTTTGGGAGGCCGAGGCAGGAGGATCCCTTTAGCCCAGGAGTTCAAGACCCGCCTGGGCAATATAGGGAGACCCTGTCTCTTTTGGGGAAGGGTAGGGGGAGAAATAAATAAATAAAAGGAAAAAAAAAGTTAACCTAGAATTAGAATTAATTTAACTGAATTCATCTAAGGATGTCACTGGTGATTTTTATATGTTCCTCTACATAATTGATGCTTTATAATTTTATCATAATCCAACAACTTCATTTATATTTAATTGTTAAGGAGTTTAAGACTAGAAAGACTAGAGTGTTTTCTAGTCCAAATAGAGGTCAGTGAAACAGCTTTTGACATCAAATTTTCATTTGAGAGGAAAGCTGTGGTACTGGCTAAAAACAAAGGAAGATAACATCCAGTAACCACAGGAATATATTCTCTGTGAATTAAAAGTCTTCAAAGTTATCATTTCTCTGACATATGTTGGAGTAGTCATTTCCATTCTTTACATTGTCATGAACTGGATTGATACCCCTCATCTGCCATATTCTTTTTACCCCTAAAATTTTTAACAGGGTTTCCTTTTTTTCTCATGACTATTTAAGTTTAGATTGCTCCATTATTAACTGATTAATGCACTTTGAAGTTCTCTGGAATTAATTATTTTAACTTGGCCTAGCTTTGACTGTCAAGATGGCTGTTATAAATTTGACTTCATTGGCAGTGGAATAAAGCCTAAGCCAGCTGAGTCCCTATCATAGCTGAACCCTGAGGACAGCCTCATAGCTCATGTATCAGGGACTTTTGCTACATTTCAGAGGCATAGCATGAACAACTAATATTAAACCAAGAACAAGCAGCAGAACCCTGTTCCATATGGGAAAAACAAAACAAAACAAAAAACAAAACACTTTTTTGTCCCTAATGTTCTTCCTTTTTACATCCTGGAACAACAATAAAAACATTTTTTTTAAACTTGTCTATCTGTACTCCAAGACACTGCCATCATAAAGCAGAGACTTACATGAGTGAAAAGGTTGCCTCATCAAGAAACTCAGTGTAAATAGGGAGACTAGGCTCTCCCCAGCTCTATGGTTTTTTTATTTCATGTACCCCAGGAAATACTGTGTGGTTTCTAAAATCCCTGGTTGTTAAAAGTAGGGACTCTGCCTTTTTGTTAGTAGGGGAAAAAAAAAATGCTATTGCTTTGTCTTACAGAGCGAATGTCTGCCAACTGCCCATTCATTATATTAGTCTGAACTTGGTAATATATGGCTAATGAAGATTAAGCCCTCTATAAAGACTTCCTGTTGAGGTGAATTATCATACTGAAATGTAGTTACCTACAATATTTACTAGAGATTTATGAAATTAAATTAAGCGATAATGTAAGAAAATAGATTTTTTTGGTTCTATATAATGCTTCATGATTCATTTAGGGACCTAGAAATATTGTGTGAAAATATATAAATATCACCCAAAAGGCTTTCTGCCCTATATTTTTAAAATACAGAATAGTTATATTTGAAATAGCCCTGGCCCTAGTTCTATAGGGCTCGGCTATTTAATATTTTTATGGAAGAAGTGTTTAGTTCTGGAAAAGGTAAATGCTTGTATATATTTTTGCAGCCTGGGATCTCCCTACTCCATTTTTTCCTTTAATTTAAGTGGCCACATGTATATGTCTTCCCTGCTGTGTTAGGAAAATGGGGGCTGGATATCCCAAGAATCAGAGGTTATATAAAAATATTGCAAATAGACAGAAGACATAAATATCTACCAAATGCTATCTTAAATTTTGGTCCAAACTGAACATATGGAAATAGATTTGTTATAAGTATTTACTTAGAGCTTTTTCTTAAATCTGAACTAAATTGCTTTTAGAATTCTTTTTCTTTGTAAGCATTGTAAATGCTAATAAATCCTGTTAATTTTTTTTTTTTTTTTTTTTTTTTTTTTTTACTGCATGTTACATTGAAATAAAACCAAGTAAAATGAGCAATTGCCTTATTCTTCTGCTCTTTTGCAGGGGGTGGGGGTTGGGGAAGACAGCATTCCACAGCCTGGTCAGGAGGGAAGGACCTCACTTGTTTCATCAAATGGAGTGGTTTAAAACTGATCAAGCAGCTCATAATAATGAATTCCTGCTCTGTCTTTCATTATCTTATGTCAGAGTGCAGAAAAACATCATTTCATAAGACTTACAATAACTCTATTTAAAATTCAGGTATTGTGCTCGGGAGGCTGAGGTGGGAGGATCCCAGGAGTTCAAATCTAGCCTGGGCAACATAGCGAGACCCTGTCTCTTAAAAAAACAAAAAGACATATTCAGGTACTGGTTTTTCATCAAGAGATTGACATACCAGTGATCAAAAATTTTAGTGAAACCTGACTCAACTATACACAAAGTTCTCATCCTAAATGAGCTATTTCAGTCAAGCCCACTCTACCACTTTTTACTTATCTGGTTAATAATACAACATGTTGTCAGGGTTGACTCATGGAATTAAATTTTTCCTCTATTTTTATATCCTTCCCTGTTTTGGATGTAACTTCATCTTTCTAAACTCCTTTAGAGTTAACTACTTCTATTTAGTATTGTTGGTATCTCCAGCCCCCCTCCTTTTTTCGTTTTTCTTTTAGTTATTTACTTTGTTTGTATATTTGCTTTTATTAACTAAAAACGGAATTGACAGCACAGGATTGTATATTACTGTATTAAGAGTACTTTTGTTTTCTTGATCTGTTACTTTTAATACTCAGGTAATGCTACAAATATTACAGGGAGTTAAATGCTTTTATAAAGTTCCTTCAGTGGTTGCTACACTTGTGTTTTCCTACAAGATATAAGACTGTTCATAATTAAACTTTTTTGGTCCTTCATTTGCATGCCTTTCCATTAGTCTTGGGTAAGGAGGGGTCTCTTTCCTCTCTCCCTGACCCCACCTTCTGAGAAGACTTATATGTGACCAGGTCACATAGATTTCTGCTTTCTCTGCTTTTTTAAGTGGCAGGTTACAGCCTGTCTGGATTGTGATATTGTTCCCGGACCAAATCGAGGGTCGGACTGCTTATTCTTGTAGCCAAATAATGAGGTGCAGATGAACTGGGAAAAGAGGGAGTTTATTTCTGTATCCAGGTATGGGGAGAAGGCCAGGAAATGATCCCAAGACCAACTCAAAACTACAGAGTTTTCCAGAGCTTATTTACCTTATAAGCTGTATGTCTACGTGTGAGTGTGCATTCATCTAAAGACAAGTGATTCACTTTTTTAAATCTGTAAATAAGATCTGAGTCCCAAAAACCTTCCTCTGGAGCCTCAAGTACATTTACTTAATCTAAATGGGTCCAGGTTCTGGGGTGATTACCCTTATCTTGTCTCCTGCTAAATCATGGAGGTTTGGGGAGTTCCTTCAGACCCCCCAGTAAACTTGTTTGTGGAGGCCTTCAGACCCTCAATAAGTCCCTTCAGACTCCCAATAAAATTTGTTTAATCCTAAATGGGTCCTGTTAAAAATTCCTTTGTTACCTTGTCATGCTTTAAGGCCCAGAAAAGGCCTGGGCAAAACCCTTGGTGGGCTTTTGTTACATTCCAGCCTTTGTATAAGGGCCCTGACTCAGCTTTTGATATTTAACTTAACCACTCAGTGTTGAAACAGTTGTCATGGAGGCCTGCGTTATTGAGATCTGGCCTGCCACAATATGGGTAGAAAAAACTAGAAAGAGCTGTGCAGATGAGATTGGATTTGATGCCCATGTTGAAGATGAAGATATCTGCAGGGGCCATCAACCAACATGAAGGCCTCCATATGAATTGCTTTTCTGAGACAACTAAAAGACCAGGACCACACGCATGAGTGCTGAGTAGAGAATCACCAACTAGCTAACTGTCAAGACTGTTACCAAGACTGTTCGCAACAAGCTGACCTGGTTACCAGCTTCAGTAGACCTTTTTCTTATTAGGAAACTCAGGTGATTATGCTCTCATTTAAAACAGAACCAGTGGAGACAGACTAAGGGAAGAGGAATTTTTTTTTTTTTTTGAGACGGAGTCTCACTTTGTCGCCCAGGCTGGAGTGCAGTGGCCGGATCTCAGCTCACTGCAAGCTCCGCCTCCCGGGTTTACGCCATTCTCCTGCCTCAGCCTCCCGAGTAGCTGGGACTACAGGCGCCCACCACCTCGCCCGGCTAGTTTTTTTTTTTTGTATTTTTAGTAGAGACGGGGTTTCACCATATTAGCCAGGATGGTCTCGATCTCCTGACCTAGTGATCCGCCCGTCTCGGCCTCCCAAAGTGCTGGGATTACAGGCTTGAGCCACCGCGCCCGGCCGAAGAGGAATTTTTTAATACGGCTGAGCTTACATGGACTAGAGGACAAAAACTGCAGGCCCCTCCCAGGTCCTGAGTAGTTAGTAGACCCTATCCTGTTTATTCTGTCCAATGGAAGCTGCTAGAATGCCCTAGTTTCATTGTGGCTTAGAATAAGGGGGAAAATATGCCCCACTAAGTAAGGGTCAATCGTCATTAAGTAATTGTTCTTACTGACCATTGGCTCTCATCCAGAACCCTACAAAGCATCAAACTGGGACTCAGCTGTGACTGACTGGCTGTTCTCTGGACTTTTTAAGTGTCTGTCTCACATTATGTAACTCCAGTACAGGAGCTGCTGTCTCTCCCAGCCCATTTCAGTTGTCGATTCTTTCATATTTGTAGGACTCCTTTGTGATCAGGATATCTGGAGTGAGGAGCCAGGGGAATCTTCATGGTTGGCAAGGAAAAGAGGGCCTTAAACATAAACCCCAGAAGGACACTGTTGATCCCTTATGCACAGGAGTCTGTTAATAAGCAAAGAGTGGCTATAGACAAGAGGATTTCCTCAAAGCACCCCACAGGGAGGGACCTTGAGAATTTGTAGTCATACTTGAAAGATCACTAAAAACAGCCCTCTTGTGATTTTTCTTCTAATTCAGACCTGTTCTTCTATTTGTCTTCCATATCATAGCAACCAGTACCACACCCATATTCACTTAATACCAAAACAACTGTCAACATTTATCACTATGTGCAGGACACTGGTAGATACGCTATGTGCAGTGTCACTTAGTCTTCCTGTTGTTGAGTATGATTATATCTGTTTTACAAGAAAATAGAGGCTCAAGATGATTCAATCATGTCCACAACTATTAAGTAGAAAGAGTACAGATTGGAATCCAGGATGGTTTGACTCTATAAAGCATGCATACTTTACCATTTTGTTGTGCTGCTACTTACCACAACACTGGGAATCTAATATGACCAATTTTGCCATTCCATTTAATTCGTCTCCAAATCCTATTCCCAAAACTTTTTTTTTTTTTTTTGAGGTGGAGTCTCGCTCTGTTGCCCAGGCTGGAGTGCAGTGGCACAATCTCAGCTCACTGCAACCTCCGCCTCCCAGGTTCAAGTAATTCTGTCTTAGCCTCGTTAGTAGGTATGATTACAGGCGCCCACCACCACCCTGGGCTAATTTTTTGTATTTAGTAGAGATGCGGTTTCACCGTGGTCTTGATCTCCTGACCTCGTGATCTACCCACCTTGGCCTCCCAAAGTGCTGGGATTACAGGCATGAGCCACCACGCCCGGCCCCAAAACTTTTTAAAATCCCTTCTCTCAGAGTTTACAACATTGCCACAGCCCACATGCTTCCTTCCTAATCTGGCTGACCATAAGGGCATCCTGTCTTCATTTTTCCATCCTCCCTGCTCCAGTATATCTTCTGTGCTACCTCAGGATTATCTGTGGAAGTCCTGTCTCATGCCTCCTCTACCTAAAATCTTACAGTGGTTTCACCATTACCACAGTATAAAACTTTTTTTTTTTTTTCTTTTTTTTTTTGAGACAGAGTCTCATTCTGTCACCCAGGCAGATGGCAGTGGCGCAATCTCAGCTCACTGCAGCCTCCGCCTCCTGGGTTCACGCAATTCTCCTGCCTCAGCCTCCCGAGTAGCTGGGATTACAGGCACACACCACCACGCCCAGCAAATTTTTTGTGTATTTTTAGTAGAGACGGGATTTCACTATGTTGGCCAGGCTGGTCTCGAACTCCGACCTCGTGATCCGCCCGCCTCAGCCTCCCAAAGTGCTGGGATTACAGACGTGAGCCACCGCGCCCGGCCAAAGCTCTTAAAGCTTGTAAGCCTGCCACTCCGGGACATTCTTGGTCCTATTCCAGCTCCTCCTCCATTCTCATTTTGACTCCCATCATATGAACTATTGGCCATTCTCTTTTTTGCTTCTGGGATTGTAATCTTTTAAAATCCTTTCATTCCTCTCAGTCTGGTTCTCCATGGGCAAGAAGGTGGTGATTCTTCCAGGGCTTGTCTTCCAGGATGTTTTAGGGTCCAGTCTCTGCAGCACTTTTTCCCCTTGCTAAATGCTTTCCTAATGTTTCCAGCATTCAATAGAAATTCCTTTGGATCCAGTCCTTTTAAAAATTTATTTTGAAATAAGTTTACATTTACAGAGCTGTTGCAAAAATGGTAAGAGTTCCTGCACAGTCTTCCCCCAGCTTTCTCCAATATTATGATCCCACATAACCATGCTAGTAGAATTACCAGAAATAATAAATTAACACTGGTAAAATAACACTAAACTACAGCCCTTACTCATATTTCACCAATTTTCCCACCAATGTTATTTTGCTTTCTCTTTACTCTTCTAATCTGTGACAGTTCCGCATTCATTCCTTGCTTTCATGACTTTTTGAGATTTTGCGGGGAGTACAGGTGTCTTGTAGAACATCCCTCACACTGGGTTTAGTGAAGTTTTCTCATGGTTTAAGGCTTTGCGTTTTTGTGGAAAATGACTTGGAGGTAATTTGCCCTCAACGTATTTTTATCGGGGCACAAGGCATCAATATGTCCCCTTTCCAGTAATACTAACTTTGATCTGATTAAGGTGGTGTCGGCTAGGTTTCTTCGCAGTAAAGTCAATCCTCTTAACATGCAGACACCCCTGGAAGGAGAACCAAATCCTTCCTCACTGAAGAGCAGCTACCGTGGAATGAAACTTTGGAGTTAGATCATCGTTGAATCCAGCAAGCTACAGTGCCTGGGAGAAACAGCATTTATAAAGTATCGGGGTTACCGATACTTCCATGAAGCTACGGAGATAACCTATGTGCGTGTTCAGCACAGTAATGTGGCACAGGGTTCACTAAGCTGCAGCACGTTTTAACAGAAGTTATTCTTACTAGAGGACCCAGAAACGTTTGTGACCTGCGGGAATAGAATGTTAAAGAGCGGAAACCGGGACAACATTGGGCTCTGGGAAGAAGAGTCCCCCTTTCAGAGGTGAGAACAAAATAGAGAACAAAGATGTGAAGTGGCTTCTGCTACGTAACGCGGGGCGGGGCTGAGTTCGGATTCGAAAGACTCCCAGGCCAGCCCTAACCAATTCATCTCCGAGCTTGCACGGCATCTTCCCCGGAGACTCCAGAGGTACCTGACTCCAGCCCCACCCCCGACCTGCCCGAGCCCAAAGCGCATTTTGGCCCTGGGCCTGTCTCTGCCTCAGTCAGGGCGCAAAGGGGGTCTCAGCAACGGTCCCACTTGCCTTCATACTCTCCCACCACGCTCCACCCAGGGACTTCAGAGTCAGCTTAGACCTCCATTGAGAGCTAAAAGCCTCTTCCGATACCGAGAACCAGCATTTTTTTTTTTTTTTTTTTTTGAGTCAGGGTCTCTTGCTCTGTTGCCCAGGTTGGAGTGCAGTGGCGCAATCTCGGCTCACTGCAGCCTCGAACTCCTGGTCAGGCGATCCTCCCACCTCAGCCTTCGGAGTAGCTGGGACTATTGGGGCGCGCCACCATGCCCGGCTAGTTTTGTTTATTTTTTAGTAGATAA